AATATGTCAAGTTTCTTTTCATTCTGATACAATATTTCTATGTATTAATTATCATTCACTTTGATATACTATTTCAATTCAATACCATTCACTTTGATATTCATTTAATACCTTCAATTCTAAACTAACTATTTATCACCTTAGTAACAATAAATAAATTAATCTCTACATAAAAGAAAGAGTTCAATTGTAACACACAATAATATTGTGACGTGTATTGTCTCTTGCTTCAGTTAGTCCAAAATTCGATATTAAGAAATAAGACATGAGTCGATCAAGAGTCATTATATCTATATACATTCAGAATTATTTTAATTTTTAAAACACAAATAAAACAGTGTATCAATGACTGGTGTTGAAAATTATTATAATAAATAAACCATTATAAAAAAATTTATTTTCTAAAAATAAAACAGTGAAAATGATACAACTGTTTCAAACAGTTTTTTTATTGGGTTGACAAGAAAATAGTAGAGCACTTAGAGCAGCTTTTAATTTTATTATTTATTTAATAGTCTGCGAACTTCAATCTCCAATGCAGTCACCATGTCCATCAATGACTTGTATCTGCCTTGAGGGTAGAGATATAGTGGTAGCATCATGATACTTTGTATTCTAGAATATTTAAATTATAAAAGTGTTTTATAATTTTTCTTTTTAATCTAAATAAAAATAATAATCATTGTCATGAACATTATTATGAATTATATTAATTCAAATAATGAATGATAATTATTCGATGCAATCCATTATAGTCTAATAAGCATATTCATTTATAATATATCTGTAGTCCTTTTTCTTCTTTAAGCTTCTTTCGATATATTTGTAGGATTTTCAATTCGTCAGTCAATCGTATTATTCCTTACTTATCGTAGAAATTGTTGGGATGTATCGCAAAGATGTAAATTATTGTTGACTATAATTGCAAGAAAATAATCAAATAACCATTTGATGGTGAATCAGGGGAAAAAGAGAAGAAAACTCATGAATAGAGTTATAAAAATGAGAGTGAAAATTATTGAAAAGGAAAAATTAAACGGCGGAAGGAAAGCAGTTCATTAATAGAATCTCGATGGAAAACTTAAAACAGTTCACCAGATTTAATCAAATTAGAATGCTTATTTAGGATACTAATAGCGACAAGTCTTAAAGTCAATTTTTGTCATCAAAATAATAATTTTTTTTTTAATTCAATTTATTAAAATAATATAATTAACTATTTATTTAACAAAATTTAATGCTAAAAATTGACATTAATTTTTATAGTTCATGTGAACTCACTATGATCGTTTTATGAATGCCTGTGTTAGATTAAATTGAAAGGAAATGATAAAATTAATTGAGTATATGATGTCACCACATCTATACCAGTGAATTGTAAAGAACTTCTACTCAAAGTTTATTTTTTTTACCAACACATCATGATAATATTTGTACATTTTGCATCAACGTATTTTAATGAATAGCTATCCATTAAAATTACTCCAAAATAGTTTTTATACTCCGAAAATTTTTTTATTCAGGTTCATTAAATGATAACAGCTAAGTTAAGTTTATATTACTATAGTAATTTATAATAATTAATAATAATACTTATTATTAAAAATGATAATAATTAATAATAATAATTAATTCGATATATGAATGAATTATTTGTAAAATGCAAATTTTTTTTTTTTTTTGCATAACAGCAAATATTTATAAAATCTTAAAAGTTAAGAGAAGGATGTATTTTTAAAATATACAAAATATAATTGAATACGAATCTTAAACTGAAATATATTTTCCTTATCTAGTATCTTCGAAGTTTTCACGAATTGTATTCCTTCAACTATATCAGCTCGAAAGCCAATCTTCTTGCGTTATGGGACCACGACTGGTATTCGAATAATACCGGTAAATCGAGAAATCCTCTTTTCAAGTCCGACTTACCAATTCAGTTACTGGCGAACAAAGACTTCCTTTACAATGAAAAAAGCTGCCCCTTTACGCTGGCTCAGGAAAGCGTGGCCTTCACAATAGAAAATTTACATTTTCGAAGATTCTCAAATTCTTTGGGTTGTCGATTTAGCTGACACCAAATATATATATATATATACATACTCATACATGAAGAATTATGTCGAACAGAAAAAAAAATAATGATCACAATGATATTATTATTTATTACAAAAGTATTATATGTAAAAGTAATATTGCATCATGTTGAACTTTTTTAAACATTTTCGAGCAGTGATGAATTTTAGAAATAATTTAACGTGGTCTTGGAGTAACTAGTGGTACTATTTTACTCTTTTTGAATTAACTGTACAGTCGTTTTTCTCACGTATTACATCTGACTCGTTTTATACCCTAATTTCTTTTCTTTCTTTGTAACAAAAATTTCATCAGTATGATTAACAGAGATCATTATTTATTGGCTGTCAGACTAATCAGTTTTTTTTTATTAATTTAATTTAAAAACAATTGTTCAGAAAAAGTTTGTGTTATTTTTTAAACAAAGAACAATGATTTTTAATCATTAAAATTCATCTTTGATCTTATTAAAATAATTATGACAGTCTGATCTCCAATGCAGACATGATGACTGCATTGGAGATCAGAGTTAGTGAGCCATTGAAAAAAAGACTACAATTAAAAATCATTCTACGTGATCCACTATTTTACTGCCAACCCAACAAACTAAATATAAATTTACTGATCATTGACTAAATGTTTGAATAAATTTATTAAACAACAACAATGAAATTGTGATGAAAAGCAATGTATTGTTGAACGCAAGTTGCTGCTAACCGAGAATAACTGTCACCTCAAGTGATGATAAATTGACCCAAGAAATTAATGATGTATGTTATAGCTTAATAACAAGCAATATACTTATAATAAATTATATACAATTTGGTATAAAAAATATTTTACTACCAGCTGCTTTGTCGTTATAATCCTTTAAAACAACTCAAGCGATATATTCTTGAATCACAACACAGTTCTCAAGCTCCTTTGATGAATAAGATTCGTGAGTCGCTCTCATTAAAATCACAGAGGAAAATTCAATAGATGAAACAGACGTGGATGAACTACAGAAAAGATTCATATTTAATGAACGACTCGTCATAAGAGTCTACTTTGTTAATACCTGTTGAAACCAAATCTTATCTAGTATATTCATCAATGAAATATATATGTAAAAAATCAAGTATGGAATTAATTATTACAATAATAATATTGATTATATTGAAATGAAAAAATATGTCAGATGAATATTTCATTCAATTGAACTAAAAAAAAATTTTTTAATGATGAAAAGAAACTGAAAACTTTATAATTATTTTTTTTAATGGTCAAGTATTATTAATGTAGAGAAAGTTCATCATTCAACTATTCTTAATCTTCACTTTTTATAAATTTATGGGTGACTTCCATCACTCAGATTGATTTTAATTTATTCAAATGAATCTTGTTTTAATTAAAAAGTTGCTGATGTACAACAAGAAATAATCTATGAAATTTTGTAAGTGTTTTTTTTTCTATTATTCTTATTTGAAACTTATTGTAAAATATGTATACTATTATTTCACTCAGTAAGATTGATTTTAAGAATAAATTTAAAAATGTTGCACAAAATCTAATTGTAGATTTTTCATTCAAGTATTTAGTTGATTTTGATAAAAATAGTTAGAATTCAACAACTTCAATTACTTGATTAAAGTCATTTTTAACTTGATATATTGAATTTGTTTTTTAATATTTATCGATTGTGAAAATTTTGATAGCTGATAAATAACTGATGATTACATTATAATTTATTAAAAATAGACTACCTTTAAAGACAGGCTTATATTTTATTGATAAAATAAGAAGTAAATAATTTGACTTTATAAAATTGTTTTATAATCAAATGAAAAATTGAGTGATTTTGGAAAAAAGTTTTTTTACATTTTAGGTAGCTCCTTTAGAATAAGAATAAATCCTAATTAGAGAGGTAAATTTAGTAGTTAAGTTGTCTTCTAAAGAGTTTTTCTTTTCTTTGACACAACTTCTAATGAAATTTAATTTCTTGTTAATAAATTATCAGGTTTTTTTTTAAAATAATTAAAATTAAAAACAAAAATCGATAACTCAAGTATTTAGTTCTTGATGATTTTGAGAACAATAAATTATCGAATTGATTACCAATGAAGTCAATTATTGAATCATCATCAGGCTGTATCTTTTAATAACTTTAATCACGAGTGGTATCTGTTAAAGTGCTTTTAGCCTTCAAGCACCCACTTTACAGAGGCTTATGAGGCTTAAGAGGAACAAGATCATTTTATTGGTCTTCTTTTTCTTTCTAACTTTTACTAATACACTTATACTTTTACTAGTTACAAAAAGTGTCCCGAAACTACGTCGAAATTTTGATAAACTTCGTTAGGACGTTCAAAGTTTTTTTTTGTCAGTTCAGGAATTCTTAGAATTTAATCATCATTCCTGCTTGAAGAGATTGAATTAACAAAATGAAGATTGTTTTTTTTTCATTACAAATACTGAAATAATGCTCTTAAATTTTCTTAAAATCAATAGAAAATTGGAACAGTTGAGATGATTGTCTAATTTTTTAATTGATCTGATCATTGAAATCATTTTTATCTAAGTATTCTGAAATAAAATAGCCAATTATAAATATTGTATCCAACTCTTATGGCTGGTCCATTGATTAAAAAATTAAATAATACGCAATCAATTATTTATAAAAAAATTAAAATGCTACATAATTTGTGTAAATCACCATTGACAAGCAGTAAGAAATTTTTAAACTCTTTTTAATTATTGAGAAAGAGATTGGAGATAACTATCACATATTTTCTCCAGTTTTTCAACAGAGTTTTACGTTAAAATGTGATTTCAATAATTTTAATTAAAGGTTTACTTTTAAACACTTGGATTTATTTATATTCAAATAATATGGGTTGATATTCAAGATTTTTACTTATGATTCAATAATTTTTAAATCTTACCTTATATGTTCCCAAGTCTTTGACACTACAGGCCAACTTGATACTCCTTCCTGCTGGTACAGTAGTATTTCCAATTGGCTCAACGAATTCAGGTTCTGGGATTGTACTCACTGTAAAATTGAAATCGATAAGTTTATAAAAGAATTATTATTTTAATTTTAATTATTCAGATGTGATTGATATAAAAAATAATTACTAATTAACCCATCATCTATATTTGATTGAAGAAGGTTTTTTTATTGTTATAAATTTATAATTTTTATTGAATTGATTTATTGAATCTAAATCTAACAGATATTAAGTTTAAAAATGTCATCATTTTTTTTTTGTATTTAACAGCTAATCTGTACAGTTCGAATAATTTTATTTCTAAACTTTCTTTCAATTTTGTAATTTGTTCATTTTTCATTAAAATCAAACTTTTCTGAAATATCTTTAGAAACATTAAATGAATCTTCGCACTAAACGTGACTTGCCAACAAAACTACTCAATTGGAGTTCAAACGTTTCAGGAAGATGCAGAAAGAAAGAATTCACCTTCTGAAATCGTTTTTTTTTTTACCTAAAGTCGAGATTTATATATTTTATCATCTTTTATCTATTATGCACCATCTTGATTTCGTTAGAATTTATCATTTTTATTGTGTATTAACATTAAAGATATTTTTGCATCAATTTTATCCTCATGACCTAGAGTCAGATCATCAAAACAATCTAAAAGTGACAGATATTCATTGAATATCTGCCATTTTTTGAAATATACTAGATCAACATTGAATTTTATTTGTCAAAGAGAAAGTGAAAAAATATAAAATAATAATAGTGAAAAAAAGAAATTTGATTGCCTGATAAAAATTTATTTTAAAAAAAATATTTAACTACTAATGTTTATTTTTAAAAGCATTTAAAAGTATTGATAATAGATTTTATTTTAGAATAAATTAATGAAAATGTTAAGTAGCAATTACTATTTAATGAAAGACGTGTTAATGAATATAATTATGTTAAAATTGCATTCTTAAAATAAAATGAATGAGTACAAGTCTTTCTTGATACGTATTAATCGAACTTCTTATTGGAACACGAATTTGGCAAGGCAGTTACTTTGACCGCGTACCACACGACTGATTGGTGGGATGACAAAGAACGGCCAGTGACCAAATGACTAGTTCCAATCAACCACTACTGCTGGAAAATCGATTTTCGTAATGAATTGTGGTTCAGCAGCTTCTCGTTGTCACCAAACCAATATTGCTTTTTCAGTCCTACAAGTTTCTTTGAGATAAGAAATAGTTTGTTGTGGTCGAAACAAAAAATCGACCCATATATTTGATTTAGATGAAAAAAAAAAAATTTTATTGCATTTTTTATGATTACTTTTATTAGAAAGAAGCTGGTAATGATACTATTCCATGAACTTTCATCAATTTTTTTTTTATTCAATACTGTGCTATACTTAGCAGACACTTTTTCTAGGTCTCAACTTAATCCATCGGTTAGCCATAAGAGCTGTTTTTTAATTGATATTTATTAATTAATTAATTTAACGAGTTATAGAGAATAGAAAAATTAGAGAAAAAGGATCTTGAATTTTTTAAATACAGTGATCAACACTCTTCTGAACTTCTTAAGTAGAAGAAAAAGATTGACCATTATTGGTTCAACACTGCTCGGATAAATTTTGTTGTGTATAAATTACATACTTTCCATATATTTTATCTCGATCAGAGAGCTGAGACTAGTCTCATTTTATTCCTCATGAAAATCTCTACAACTAAACATACAACATGTTTTGATCTCTGATCCATTGCTTTTAAGATATTGAATAAAATAAATTGTGAAGTTAAATTTATTAATATTTGAAAAAGTTAAAATTTTTGAAACCTTTTGAATAGAGTAGTGTTGTAAATATGTAAAATAGAAGCTAGTATTTAAATAATTACATTTATCATTCAAAACAAATGCAGATGTTGCAATTTAATTATTGACATTTATTTAAATGATCAATTTTTTCAATTAACTGTTCTTAAAACTCTAGTTTTTACGAGATCCATTACTCAAGGAACATTAGATTTTTTAAATATTTTTTGTAAACCTACCCTGATGTTCTGCCTTATCAACCTTATCAGGTTAAATCTCATAAATTTTTTCTAAAAAGTACTATTAAGCGAGGTTACTTTTTTTAAGTCGAACCAGATGCGGATCTTTCCATTATTCCTTCCTTGTGTCTACCTTTTTCCGTCTCTTGCTATTTCTTTTTTCGAACCGTCCAATCTAAGTATTCAAATGAGCGAATCAACTTATACTCATGCTATATGTCTAGGTACAGACTTTTGTATGTATATATATATATAGATATAAATATATGTATACACACGTTATTCTACGTTCGTCATGCATTCAGTCAATGTATCTAATAAAATTGGTTATACATATACGTATAAAGTATAACGAGAAAAAATATAGTCGTATATTTTACCAAACAAGACGATAGATAAATATTATCTAGTTAACATAAGTTTCCAAGTAACATTGTGTAGAGAATAATATTTCTACATTTCAAGCAAAGAACAAAAAAAAAAATGTCACTTTGGTAGATTTTTAAATTTAAATTTGAAATTCTTGATTCTAAAAATATATGTTCCTTAATGTATATAAGAAAATGTACCAGATGAATATGTAGTGATATAAATTGAACATTAATTCCACTGATTAAGTATTGATTTGATTTTTAAAAAGTCTTTGCCTAATCTTCTGAGTATTAATTTATATCAGACCAGATCTTTTAACACTATTCATATTTTTATTTTCAACAGAAATACAAAAAGAACCGTTGTTTTTAAACAATGGACTGTAATTTATAAAAAAATAAAGTTTTTAATAATTTCTCTATTTCTATAGATTGTATAAGAAGAAAAGTTTTAAACATATTATAACAATCCATATATTTTTTGGTTTCTATTTTATGAAATAATTATTTTTCTTAAAGTATAGAATTTATTCAAAATAAATAGATATTGTCAAATTCATATTACACGAGGTATAGTGATGCGTTCGTTATTACTCGGTAATCCAATATTCGACATGTATTTGGTGACCACGCAATAGAAGAAGCAGGGGACAACTACTTAGTATGCATTGCGATCTTCTATCAAGGGGTATAGTAATGTCTTGCTCCCCTAGGTATATGACGTAGTTGGTATTTTCATAATATGTGAAAGTATTCGGCATGTAGACCTCATTATCAAATTTCCTTGTCCCTTGTCGATATCTCTATACAATAATTATTTTTCATTTAAAAAATAATATGCTAACATTAATATAAATAAATAAATGTATATTACATTTTACATTTAAATTAGTTGGATAGTTTTAATTTTATAAACAATATGTTAGCAATATATTTTTAAAATAATTGTATAATAAAAGAACGATATGATGATTGACAACGTAGACTTAGTAATGCTATGATAACGAAATAAATATCAAACTGAAATTCAATTTTAAACTGAACAAATCCACCAATTAAATGAATCATAATTATAAAGTTTATAATTACAATCATCGTTATTTATTTTAAACATAATTGAAATCTTAATGTTTTTTTTTTGTAATTACAATTATTGATTTCAACGGGTCTAACAATTTTGAATTTTTTAAAATAATAATTTAAATATAGATAAATAAATAAACGTTATAATGATGATAAAATAATTTTATCCAAAAAAATTCACAGCAAGTGACTATTTTGCTTAAAATATTTTAAGTATTCATTTAAGATATTTAAGTTTTAATAATATGATAGCTGTTAGTAATTGTATTGTATCAATAGGTTTAATTTGCGACAAAAAATTTTAAATAAAAGTAAACTTGATAATAACTTAAATTTTAATTGACAAGACAAACGAAGAGTAATAACAGATGGTGCAACATCAGATGGAACTTGAACTGAAATAAAATAAATACAACCACTGTCAACACAAGGAAAAACCAAGAGAATGAGCAGTATAGGCTGTTGAATTCAATTCAATCCATTAATACAGTATTGTCTGAGTAATGACCATGCCCTTCTCTGCTTTGCAATTCAACTCCTGTCTAATTCCTTGTGCTGATTCACACTTTCACTACAATACCTGACAGAAAACTTATGAGAAAATTTCATGTAGTTCTGCTTATTATTCCATTTAATTAAAACTTTAAAAACTATTGTTCCATTTCAATATAAAAAAAAAAGAAGGAAATAAAATTCATTAATTATCTTATTAAAGTTATTTATAAAAAATTTATCAGATTATGTCTGGTTTGTATTTTATGAGTATCCACCTATGTAGTCATTTTTTTTAATGCAAAAATTCATTTACATATAAAATGTTTCGTTGTTATTCGTTCATTTTCATTTGATGTAATGTTTAATGAATGCTTTTTTTACATCTTCGTGGAATTAAGTGTTCCTTGAGATGAAAATAGTTAGAAAAACAATTTTCATCATGGTATGATAATTTTTGTGCTAAGTTTTAAAAATATTTTTCAACTTAGACGTCTTGTGAGCTTGAAGAATAATTTAGGATTGAATTGCTATATTTTGCGATATTAATTAAATAGATGACGATACATTCCAACACTTTTTATACATTTAAATAAAATCCTGGGAATGGCAGGCCAGGTATGGATTCAAATGCGGCTCTATTTTGGAGTCTTAAATATTAATATGGTCCACTTAATTTGTTTAAAAAAAAGCAAATAGGACTAGGGCTTTTTAATAATTATTTATTACTAGATAGTTCTATGATAGTGAAATTGTAGAATATTGTAATAACTACATTTCATTACCATCAGAGAAAATGGCATGATGAAAATAATGAATGAATTGATACTATTTTTGGATTCAAATAAATACAAAAGACTGAATTAAATTGAGTTTAAAATGCATTTAAATAATGATTGTTATAAAACATGAGAATATAAATGGTTCTTTAGATACCACATTTATAAATGATGGTTAATTAATACTCAAATAATTCAAGTTTACTTGAAACAACAAAGTAAAAAGTAGAGTAACAATTATTACTGTTATTTTACGAATTGAAAAAGTACATATAAATGAAATTTACATTTCATCAAATGAAAATGTTTTATTTTATCGTTGTTCATTCAAAGTTATTGAAAAGTCTTCACTTAAATCACTGGTTAATGGTCTACGAAGCGCTGACGTAAATAATGCTATAAAATTTGTTGTTCGCGGTGTAAACATGGTTGCGACCGCTCGAGCCAGATCTCACTACGGCGGACTGTAGATGTGCCAACACTGTCGCGTTAAACCAACTCTCCATAATTAAACACTACCATGGTAAATTAAAACAATAAATACTAAGTTGTTGCAGGAATTAATGGCTATAGTGAATTCGAATTTACTTAGTGTCCTCCAAGTTTCACTGATGTAATTAATGTTTTGAATAAAAAATTGGTATTTATACCCTAACTTAATTAATTTTTATCTAATCAAATATAAGAAAAATTTTAAACGTTGCTTAAATATTAACATTTTATAATTACAAGTTAAAAATTATTTTTTACATGTATTCATTTTTTTTCTAGGCAGAAGGAAGACATGAGGGTAGTTGGAGATCAATCAGGAATTATTCTAATATGGTACATCATGGCAAAACCTGATCAGGCCCCCATTACATTGCTATCAAAAAGATTAGGACAAATAGGAAGGGTGAGTACTGTAAATAATATTATAAAATTTATTTTTGTTTATCGAGATTATTTATGAATTTATTTTTACTCACTTTGACATTTTATTGTATTTATAAAGGAAGCTTTAAATAGAATAACGTGTTACATTTAATTAAGAATAATTTGATCAAAAATTATATTTAATATTCAATTTAACGTTATTTATTTTATTATTCAAAGAATATAAAAACACAATTTTTTATTCACTAGATCACAACATTTACGAATAATACCGATAGTCATTATCAGTGAATTTTATTTTTTAATGTTTTTGCAGCCATTTAAAACTCTATTAAAAGATTTATTGGTTAATTTATAGTATTAAAATATTTTAAATACATTACTCACTAACAAACAATTTAGTTATTATTCAATAATATATTTTTATAAACAATAATTTTATTCACAATAAGTTGAAATAAAACCTACTAACATACTTGTTTCACTTTTTTTTTTTTTATTTTTAGTAATATACACTTTTTTTACCCTCGTCCGAAAGTATGATGAGTTAAAAAAGGACATAGATGGCACGAACTCCATGGATAACAATAGTGATATCCGTGTTCATGCGTCCGGTTGGTGAGCATCTTCCGGTTATGAATTACACAGTTGAATAAATATACTAGGTAGTAGTCACAACAAAAAAATTATTGTCAAAATGGTGAAAGTGACAGGAAACAGTCTTGTTAATGAAATTGCAATTGACTAAATATACATACACTAGTGTATGATTGCACACATAATACATGCACATTTATATATGTATATATGTATTAGCTTTCTCGAGTACTTAATTGTGTGGATTATGATCACCCTTTGGCTTACTGCATGTTATTTAAAAGAGTTGGTACGAAGCCACATCCATCTATTAATTTCAAAACTGAAAGGGCATCCTACTTCACATAATTAAAATCGACGTACGTGACAGACAAACATCCTTTTAGCTATTTTAACTTCCTACTCTGTTAATTATTTTTATTACCATTATTTCAACTTAATCCTTTTGATAAATAAATTAATTGCTTTATTCAATATTTCAGGTGAAAATAATCATTTTTCCCACTGCAATCAGCAGTTTAAACTATGTTTAATCACAAAATTTTATCTATTTAATTTGTCAATAGCACACCAGAGTCATTTTTATTAAATCCTTTTTTTTTGTATTTATTCATGGACTTTCGGTATGCAAAAATAATACTCATAAGTATAATTGTGTCTCTATAGAAACATCTACCACATACTCCACAAATTTCTAACTAACATACCTCTGAAAGACAAACCCAACCGTATTGCCGCTGAGGATAACTATAATGAATTCATTTACATTTCAGGAATGTAATATAATAGAACAATACAATATTGTTCAAGAATGATTTTTAAACTACCCAATACTCCCTAAAAATAAATCAGTGTATGTTCACTGATATGTTGTGCTAAATCTATCATTGTTGGAACTAGTGTTATTATTATCACTGCAAACAGTGAATATTTATTGATTTATTTTCAGAAAAGATGATATGCTGACTACAATGACAGACTTTAAGAGGAAAAAATCAGCTTGGTTTACCTGATTGAAACCCTAATTGGACTTAGCAGCAAGTGATCAGTCGTATTTACTCTATCAAGACCAAAGATTAATTTGATGTGTGGTTTAAAAAAAAGGTCAGTGAAAAATAATTAAATTTTTTTGTCAAATGAATTCTATTTATTCATTTCTCTCGTAAAAAGTTTGTTTAAAAAATAGATAAGTAACTTTTGTGAAATATTTCCCATAACAATTTCTACTATTTCCACCCTCAATTCAAGTAATGCCATTATACTTTATTTGGCTTAAGGCAAGCCATCTGTTTCTCTGGTAAAATCTCTAATCAGCAAAGGTGACAGTTGCAAGAATTTTTTAACTAATAAAGTAATTGCAGTCTATCATCTTAATTAATCTTATTATTATCTCTATGATATATTATATCACATTCATCAAAATACTTTGTTGATTATTGAATTATTAATTAAAAATATCTATCCATTCTCGAAAAAGTTCTTTCAGATAAATTCATTTAGAAAGCATCAAAACTCATATACCATGTATCACATTACTAAAACTTTTTGCCATTCATCAATTTTATAGAATAAATCCTTCTTTTTTTTAACATCAACTTATTCTATTCCAATTGAAAAAAATGTATCATCCTAATTTTCTTATTAGCATAATGCATTGCACTTGATTTATTTTTATAATATTATTAAACAAAAAAAGAATGTCAATGATCATCAATTTACATAAATTATTGATAATTATTTGAAAATGTTTTGATCAACATAAAATACTATGAATTTATTATCAAGCTAATTTTGTAAAATCAAATGAATATATTAGCATTAATTGAAGTAGTTTTATTTTTATTTTAAAAATATTTCCTGATTAACATAAAGATATGTACTTATTTCAGGGAAATAAGTCTTCGATATTAGCTAGTTTATTATGTATAAACTAGTAGTGGTGTATTATGTGTATAAAAAGACACTAATAGCTATTGCTGGAGGTATGTAGGCATCAAACTTCGGTTGGAATCATGAATGAACTGAAAGAAGCTTTGATCTATTTTACAGTATCAGAAAAGATATGCGTTGAAGAAGGGAGCAAGAAGCATGATGAAGGGAGTGGCTCCATAGGGGATTGTCGCTTCATGCATTTTATATTTTGTTCAACCTTGATTCTACGATAGTACTTTCAAGAACGACCCTAGAGTATAATCCTTAATCTTTGATCAGAAATTATCTTTGATCGCTGCTCAGCCATTGAGCATACTTTTATGTCTTGTTCTTACCAATTTTCAAAGTTGAATAACAGTTATTCTTACATTTTTTTAAGATTGCTTTAAGATGGAGATATGAATTTTTCTCAATCAAATTATTGTCATCATTTGCTTTAAAGCTAATTCATGATTAATATTCATCAGATATTTCATTTGATTTCTTTGAATTATGCATCAATAAAAAGATAAGTTAACTTTATGGATGTATTATTGATGATGATATTACAAGAAAATAAGAAAAAAATAAGACATAAGTAAATATTCTAAGCTTATAAAATGATCTAAATAGTGTTATGTAAAATTGATCATCCTTTTTTTCTCACTGTTCTTATGTAAATGAGTAGCAGATACTTATGTTTTTCCAATGTCTGTGGAATATGAGTATTATTTTTTATTTGATTTAAACTGTTTTGACATGGGATAATGCTATCTCATTACGCAATAAGCTGATTTCTCCCATGAAATGGTGATTTATATTGCCCCACAAAAATTTTATACGGAGATTATTTCCAGAAAAATGACTCTCTAATAATGTGTGGAGTTAATCCATAATACTCGGAATAGTTTATTTAAATATGCAAAATTTATTGCTTTTAACTTTTAAACGTTTAAGTTTGTGGTAAATAATATGAATGTAATTCATATATTATGGATGTAATAGAGAAGGAACTTTGAATAAAAGTATGTCAATTTGAAATAAATGAATAAAAGAAAAAGTATCTTGACAAGTTTTAATAAAAATAAATAAATAACAAATTTGAAATATGTCAAAAGTAGCACAGATGGAAATAACAAAATGTATGTACCAATATTGAAGTCCCCTTCAAAGATTTCGCTATCTACATAATTACCACTTTACACATTTTGCTCATAGCAGAGCTTCATGGGGTGGCTTTAATATACTAAAATAATTATAAAAGACAGATGAAGGCTACATTTGAATTAGTAATTCAAGGTAATGAACAAATATTAACAAATCATAATATTTTCTTTTGTTTAAAATAATTATTAAGTCATCATTTAACAACATGAATAATTGATAAAAAAAAAACATGGTAATAGCCATAAATATTGAGTGAACAAAACATTTTTAATAGAGTTCGACTTTAATCAAGTCTCAACCAAGATATTGCACTCACAAGAAAGGGTTGGAGCAAAATAAATCAAAAGTATTATTGCTATTAAACTTGAATGAAAATTAATAATAACTTGAATTCGTTAATTGAATATAACTGTTATTTGCATAATATCAGAAGAAGCAAATATATTTTTTTACTCCGAAAATGGTTTTCATTTAACCACACAATAACCAACTTCAAAAGTTAAGCTTCGTATTTCCATGAGAGTTTAATAATACCACGATACCATGCTACAATAAATATACTTTTTTTATTGTTATATTTCATCAAGTTTCTACCATCGCTATCAACTTACGTATATTACACGAAGCAAAAGAAGCTAAGAAAACCTTATACTTCAGGTCAGTAATTTTTAATGAAATTAATCTTGACAATAACCCGCGTGGAAATCTTAGCTTGAGCTGCTTCGTCGTTATCTGACTTAATGCAGATATATATCATAACTGACTAGTCAAACTGTACAGGTGCTATTGTTGAACTTGAATGTGTTTCTATCAAGTTATTTTGTCAAAACTTTTACCTTCTAATCAGATGATTAAGATATACTACTTATTTTTAAAAACAATTTCTCACATATTTAAAAAATTAAAAATCATCGTTTGACACTTGACAAGTCATTGACTTGCAGTGACTTTCTTTGATCCATTTTAAGCAAGTATTTATATAAAAATCTTATTTAATATATTAAGAAAAAATAGTGCTATAACAAAATAAATTTTTTGTGTTATTAAATTTTTATAAAACGTTTCATATCTATTATGTTAACAGAAAGCTTTCTGTCCTGTAGATTTAAATGCTAGGTAATTTTTTTCACTTTATATTTTGTTTGTACACTGAAAAAAAATTGAAGTATCAAGTAAATAAACATAGGAATAGTTAAAGATTATCTCTGTAAATGCAGAAAAAGTGTAGAGGACTTGGATCATATATTATGACATTACAAGTTATATATATATCAATATACGAGATGTTGTTTTTAAATGATTTAAAAAAAAAACTTAAGTTTCACAACCAATTCTATGTTTAATTATTACTCAAAAGGCTCGAAATTCCTGCGTATTTATGTATTTTCAAGTACCTTGTTAATTGTAAATTATATAAGCGATTGAACTATGTAAATAGTATACAACACTCCATACTTTCATGTTATTTTATATATAATTGTATTTTTGTATAGCCAAAATAAACCTTTCCTGGTTTAAAGGGTTTTATAAAAAAAAGAGGTAAATAAATACTAGTGCTAAGCCAATAATTCATTCGATAGAAAATTAAATTTTTTATTTAATTAATTGCTTATTTAGCACAAGTGATTGTTTACTTGACCCTACAATAATCACATATTTACTTGATACAATTTTTTTCTTGCAGTGTAATAAAATTCTTTATCACCATTTTGATTATAATTCAAATGATGATAAACAATAATATTACTCAATATTTATCAATTGCATAAAATTGATAAAAAGTAATTTTTATTTTTTTTTGTCTGATAAATATGCTCAAAATACTTATAGACAAAATTTTTTATATAACCAGATATATTAACACGTTAATGTGCAAAAAGAAATCAATGTAAAATTGGTTATACAACTAGAATAATTGAAGGATACTTCATTATATATAAAAACAATCAGCATGAAATATAACAAAATAATAATTTTAATTGTAAAATTCATAGAATTTTATGACGACTCAAGTATGCTTTATAAATATAATGTAAATATCATAAATTATTCTTCAAATTTTTCTGCGTGTAATTATATACAACAGAAATAATTAATCAGGACAGATTTTAATTACTAGTGTAAATGAAAGATAAATATACTGAAATAGGAGTTATTAGAAGTCGAGAATTACATGAAAACCATTTCTTATAATTCCTAGGTAATTTTGAATTATTAAAAATCTTAATGATTTGATAGAAGCAGAAGCTTGAATTTAATTCATAAAAATATCTGCAAGTCGATAATTATTGATTGATTACAAGCACTAAGTCTATCATTGAATGAATCATTCATATAATAAGCAGTAGAAGATGATCACTGTTCTAAGATCATTTTTATTTATTTATATTGATAAAATGTGTTCTAGCATAAATCAAATAAAAAATTCACGAAAAATGGCAATTCTTCTGAGCTAATGAGGTGGTTTTTTTTTTCAAATAAATAAGCAGATTTGGGATAATGAGAAAATAACATTTGAGCTGATTTATTAACGATGATTTATGTATGAAAGCGTGCTGAAAAGCTCTCCCATTAAAAATAGAACCGTCAACATCACTGCGGAATCAGTGAATATTCACTAAGTCGTTGTGATTGACAATCGATCATTTTTATTTTTATTCAATAATTCCATTAATTTTGAATAATTAAGAAATATTAATTAACAATAAATTATGTTCATATTTAATAAATAATAATAAAAAAACAAAATAGCGGCAAATTTAAAAAATAAAAGGTGTCATATTAATCCTTTCAGGACCACAACGTTATAGGAGCTTATGTAATTATTTTATCTATTTAAAATGATCCATTGGGCGATAAAAAAAAAATATTTTAAAATCACGAAGGGATACTGTAGTAATTAATAAAATTACATACATCAGCTTTTAAATTTATATATGAATTTTGTCAATTTTGATCTGGATACCGTATCCCTTTGGTCATCAAAGGGTTAAAAAATGACAATTGTTAATATTTAAACTTACCTGTAGTAAACGTTGCTGTCGTCGTACATACAGCTTGGAATAATATGCATGACAATAAAAGAATTGACGATAAGTTAATTCGTAGCTTGGCAACTTTAACATTACTCATACTAAAAATTTCTAAATTAGGCAAGACACATGTTGAGTGAATTTTATTGGCACAGATGTTGATCCTATTGTTAGAACTGTTTTCTCTAACTGAGCATTTCTTATTGGATAATCTGTCTTCAAGGAGGTATTTTGGTGGATCTGTCAACGACTCACTGTAATCGTTCATTGTTTAAAATTTATTTTACCAAACCTACAATCGATAATCAAACGAATCCAATATACAAAATTGTTCACTATTCACTCGTTCAAAGGAAGCAAATAAATTGTACTATCACTTAATAGTTGGCATCTCGTACGTAAACATTATGTCCGTGATTATCATAATAAATAAATAGATATGAGAAATGCATATAAACTTTTGACCGTAAATGGCTAAAACTATTGAGCAATTTCATTCATTATTAAATCATATAATGAATAGTTTTATTCTGAATTCCACGTTGCAAAATGCTTAGAACTGCGATACTCATATCTCTCACAGCCGCTCGCTTATAACGCCCGGCGTCGACTGTTGTTTTCAATGTTAACCCTCTATGCAGTGGTTGTCACTGCGCATCTTTTATGCGACCAACTAAACTCCAACCCTCAGTGAACAGACCAACCACGAATTCGTATCACCGCCCACTAATACTCAAAAGGCGGAGCTACTGAATTAAGATTTTCGACTTTCTTGAGTTCTGTGGAGCTTGCGGCTACCACTTTGAGAATTAGCTAATTCCAACCTCTATCTTTTGATATTGCTATTTGAGTTTTATTTATGCGTTGATATACGGTTGTAGATGCTCAAATTGATGTCATTTAATTTTTATTACCTTCATTTTGTAACGATTAAATGTTCTTCTTCGTCATCAAACGATAGAAATCATACTAATATTATCAACTCATTTGCATTCATTTATCTTAGCTTTTAATTTATTTCAATTCGCACTGCAAAAATAGGATATTTTTTTTTTTAGTTTCAGTTTGAAAATTTTTTGATGAAATAAGTAACTTTGTTTTTTAATTGAAATTTAAGATAAATTGTCATCGAGTTTTTTTGTTGAAAATAACAAATATTTATTATTGGATATAAAAATTTATTATCGATTTATTAAATTCACTTTCAAGCTTTCAAAGTTGTGTCTTTACTTTGGAAAAATCATAGAAAGTTCGAATAACGTGATAAAACTGTAAAATCCAATGGATTGGTGTTTTTATATAAATTAAAGTAGATATCATTACTTGGTATTAATTGCAAATGAATTTTTTAATTGGGTCGGACTAAACTAGGATATTTTCACTTGTAGTAATTTTCATAAAATCATCTAGACGCATGTGAACATTTAATTATTTTCAATAATTTAGCCCTGATAAAAAATGATCTATATAATTATATAAGATTTTATATGATTATATAAATAATAGTAGGTTTTTTTATAGAATTAGATATACTTATATAAAATTATTATTGACTTAAATAATCAGTTTTAATGCATAATCTTTATAAGCTGATGTTATTGAATATTTTAATTTAAAAATTTAAGTCAGCTTTATTTTTTAATCATCAAGAAATGAACAGTACCAGTGCAATTGATTCTTTTGTTGTTTTAAATTTTTACTCTCATTCTTAAAATGATCAATTTTTTATCAGAATGCTATAAACATCACAGCTGAATAAAAGATGATCTATTCAAGGTTGTCTGATCAAACCTGGCCATTTTCACTTTCAATTGTTCTTGAAAAGTTGTGGAATAAAAAAAGGTGTTATAATAAAATTTCTAGTGAAGTAGAATTATACAATTTACTTTTGATACTTGTGAATTGATATAAAATCTTATCATGAGGTAGTTTATTTCAGAAAATAAGTAAATTGTAATGCACATTTCTTTGAGAAAGCTGAAAATTTTTGTCATGTAGCAGAATAGGTTATTTGAAGATCACTTTTCCGTATCTGTAGCAACATTCGTGACTCTCATTCCTTACCCGTTCCTTCAGGAATGCGTGACATGCCTTAAAACTTGTTTTACCTTTTTTTTTTTTTATTCCAATACATAGGATAACGCTCAAGCGCGTTGCCTACTTGGTAGTCATTTTCTGACTCGACACACCGGAAGATAAATGTAGTCCAGAGTTAGAGAAAAGCGGGAAAAACATCCTTGTGATACTCATAGGGAGAAGACAAGACAGCAAAAAGACAAAGACAACGAGTTAGATATCGGAAAATCAAAACGAAGACTTACGATTCTTGACAAGAAGCTTTCATTTCACCAATATAAGTCTGAAAATTCACATTACAGATTTGACAGGAATCAACATCAGACACACGTGTTCACCAACATATCTTGACTAGAATTTTCCATAAGGTATGCCTAGAATAATCAGGTAAATATCCAAACAACTGAATAAGTACATTTATTTTAATAAAATAACAATTATTCATTTAAAAAAAATATAAACTTTACTTTTAGATTATCTAGAAAAATTTTCTAGAATTGTTAACTTTTAATTTTAAAAAAAGATCCATTTTATTATTAGATTATTTATTATTTAATTTGTATTATTTATAGAAATATAGAAACATACTCTTTAAAAATGAATCAATTGAAATCACTGCAAGCAGGAAATATTCACTGATACATTTTTAGAGAGCACGAAAAGTGTGCTGAACATTAAACTTCCATAAACAAATTACAGAATTTCATATGCTAAGAAGTGTGTGGAAAGTGTCTGCAAAGTTTTACAATCCGTCTATTCAATTTCAACATCAAGCACACTTTATGCATATTATTCGAATATACATGGTTTGATGGTGTTCATGAACCCTGGTTTAAGATCTTAAAAATAATTCTAAATCATGATCATGTGCATGCTATACACAAACTTTAAAACCTTGAAGTCATTTCTAACACAAAGACTGGTTCAACGTTAGGCTAAAGATGGCCAGTTGTGCTCTTCTGCTCAGGTATTCTGAAGATTACTTCCCAAAGTAAAAAGTGTGGATGGAAATAGTCATGCCTTGACTTGGTAGATTTTTAAGATTAAATAAGTAACTCATTAAAAATGTTAATATTTAAATAATGTGACAAGCTCTATTCTTGTAACTCATCCATATGCTCTTTGAACAACATCACTTACTCAAAAGCTTTCACATCTACGTTGCACTTTTCTCTGATCAACAGCAGAAACAGTAGATTATCAGAAGAACCCAAGTTGGAATCTAATCCAAGAGGTTGCGCTGCCCACTTTGCTGTTTTGTACAAAAATATTCTCTTTTATCTAACTTCATGATCAGATAAAAAGAAATTGATCAAAGTCTTTCAAGAGTTAAAAGTACCAAACCCTAGCAACCAAACTAACGTTAGACTGACGTCAGGTCTGGATATTTTGTCCTACGTTGGTCATTTACGTATGTTTCTGCTATTTTTCTGAAACAGATGGACGTAAGATTACTAGAGAAATTAAAGTGAACGTAGTAGCTTGAAAAATATTATCCACAAACATTGCAAATGATTTCAGAATAATTATACCAGTTTTGAAGATTGGTTTTTTTTTTGACAATGACACAATAAGACTAGCAGTGATGAAAAAGTGTTTTCATGCAAGCTGCCAATGAACGAAATGCCTTGCAATTCTAACCATTTCATATTTAAAGTATATTTTCATTTGCTGTTATGTTATTGACGTCCATCGCAGATAGGCAAGCAAAAGAATATAGTCAATATCTTTTCTGACGTAGAGTTGCATCATTTCCGGTGGCTTCTTCGATGAAGAAATCTGCCAGTCAGTTGCAGGCGGGTGTACCCGGCTTATAGCTTACTTACAGACCCTCTTTATGCCTCACTACACCTGACTGCTTTAGTATAGCTACTGAAAACAGACAGCTGTTTATGCGGGTGGAAATACTCTAAAGAAGCATTCAATAAATCTTTATCATTATGTATCGATGTAATCACAAATTTATCGAAAGTTGTGTTGTTAATACAAGACACTGCAGGGTTAATTAGTTATCTGTTTTCCAAAATTAATTTATAGAATAAATATTCAGTGGTGATGGACCAACTCTTTGGATCATTTTTCAAGAAATATTATTGATTAAGAAATAATAGAAGCTAAATCAGTGAATATTCACTGATTCACAGTCGTTTTTACTGATTCAATTCAAGTGCATACACTGAAAAAAAAATGTTCATTTAATCAATAATAATAATTTAAAATATTTTATTACATTTAATGAAATTTATCTTGATATTTTTCTAGGTCTTCGTCTCAAGACAATACAAGTGATATTAAATTAATTCTTACTTTCTGCAACCATTTCAAATTTTGATTTTAATAGTTAAAAAAAAGATTACTTGTTCACAGTTAATTTTGTTTCAATATATATTCATCAAAGATATCATTGATCATCAAAACCTATATGGTACTTAATTAAAAATAAGACAATTTTATTATTGTTAGACAATCATTAGTTGAATCTCTTTGAAAACGAGCTCAATTGAATTGATTGCTAATAAGTATAAAATCTGAAATAAACAATGAATGAAAATGAAGAAATGACTCTTGATTTCGATAAATATCATGATTAATTGATTAATTATCAAGTCATTTTATTGACAAGAAACGAAAGTGGTTTCGAGTAAATTAAAAGGAAATAGCACTTTTGTCCTGAAACCAGTAAGCTAAGAAATTTACGATCCAATCAGTGGTGGGAAGTGTTTACGAGAAAACCGTTCAAGACTGATGATATTGGTGCACGTGGTTAATAATTTTAAAGTAGCAGTATTTTTTCATCTATCTTTCCTATTTCAGAATTATGTTATCTATCGACTCAATCATCTTTAAAAATAACATTTTATTTATTAAGCAGTGTATCATAAATAATGAATACTAAAAAAAATAATTATTATTACAGTGTACCTAAATAGCAAAAAAAATATTCATCTTCATTTATTTTGGAGAATATAAATTAAAGCTTAATAAAAAAAAATGAAGTGAATAAAGCTCACCTTCAAAATGACTTCCAATTCTTATTTCAATCAATTTAACTATTAGAGTAATTGAAGAGAAGTAATAATAAATAAGATAGTCAATTTTTAATTAATTGACTAATGAAGAATTAATTTAATTAATTGAATAAGATTGACTAGGTTTTTTTGATCATAAAAATTGAGATTATTTGAATACGAGACAAGTAGATTGGTCTTTAGTGTTGAAGGGTACCAAACAGGAAGTTGGTAACTCAATCAAGTCACACCCAGCTTTTTTTAGAGTTTAATTAATACCAATAGATAAAAAGATAATAATTTAATGGAACCAGTTGTGACTGATAAAAAGTTTCCAACATTTCTCGTTGTAACTTAAATGTATCTATATCTCCGGAAGTCATGGAATCGTCTTCTTCTTCTTCAAAGAAAGAAGAAAAAAATTAGTGGTAATTGTAACCTTTAATATTATTTACTAACTTATAAATTGTCGTTTTACATTGAATTGTTTCGAAAATCACACGACTTCATAAAACTTCTAGAAATGTTTCAAGTTCTATTGGCAGATACGAAAAGTCCTAGCAATCGCACCTATGCAATACCACAACGAAAAACCTTTCGTGTGCCCCAGGCTTTAAGGGTATAGAGGGTAGATAACGTGCAGAGCGTTAGTAAGGGTTGGGATCGTACGTGATCTTTCAGTGCGACTTGATTGGCCCAACATCAGAAGTAAAACTATTGTCACGGTGATACGTCTTGGAAGTACAGAAGATATAGACTAAACATTTAAAACTTTGTTCAATTGGCAATGATAAAAAGACAAGTTGATGAACACAAGATAAAAACTGAAGTTTCGCCCCTAAACTGTAATCTGCCCACGTGCTTCGCGTTATTTGAAAGTTTGCTTTGCCAATATATAGATAGAAAAAAAGAAGAGACTTTTCTTGTTCTCAAAGCTACTGGAAGATCAGTAAATTATTTAAAAGTCACTGAAATAAGATAGAAAATTTTATCATATCTTTTGAATCACAAGTTTTGTTTACAATTCATCAAGAGGTCAGATCTCAAATCTAATATTTTGATATTTAACAAAAAAAAATAATAAATTAATTAAATAATTATAATTTACCATCATCGTTGGAAAGATTTCCCGAATTACTTGAATAATATCTGTTTTATTACATTCATATACATGTTCTGTCTATCTCTATATCGGAAATTACCTGTCATATATCTAATAGATGGAATACATAAAAATCTATGCTCTTGAAAAGAATTATATATGTATATAACATATGTGGACTGATTTCCTAAAATTTATATCTCACATCTTTTGGCACATATGAAAAAGTCTTCTCAAACATTTTTTGTTCTCGAAATAAATATAAATATAGATATGGAAGTGAATAGTCATCAAACATCAAACTTCATTAAAATTGATATTATTTTATATTTGTAATGAATACCAATTATACTTAAGCTTCAGCAAATCCAATTTGCGGCCCGAGTTTCAAGTAGTCGTCAAGTTCGAATGGAACCTTTTCTAAACAAGCGTGCTCTAGTACTACACTCACTATAGAATAACGAGACGGTGCTGTACTAGTGTCTACTTTAACTTTATACTTTTATATTTTTGAATCCATTTTTTTTCATTCTCGTTTTCATGTATCCACATCAAATCATTTACTCAAATCAAATAAAATCATCCATCTTGGCATTGATATAATATTTTTTAACATTAAAAATTTCACATTATTTAATTTATATCATACCATTAAATATTACTCTAGTTTACCGATAAATATTAGCAATAATTAATGACAAAATATTAGTGACTAACAAATATCTACCCAGCTAATAGATCTAGGTCATACAGATCTATTAAATTATGAAAAGTTTTTGAAAAGAGTTAATTCTATTGGAGTAAATGTTTCAGTCATTTGCAGATGATATTGAATTAATACTTATTCAACATAACAGCCTAATGAGTCTCCTGTGGTATTGTAAATAAAACTAAAAGTGTGATAAATTGGATTAGATACTTGTTGTGAAACATCAGATCATTGCAGTTGGCTCTATTACCACTAGAAAATTTTTTATTTCTTTGGTGCTATAAAGCAGCACTTTCATTTAATTTTTTCCTTAATTTTAGGTCTGTGTACAGTATTTTTTGTTTGAACAAATTTTATCTAATTTTACTCTTTGGATTATATACATATAATCAAAATCAAAGTGAAGATATTAAATCAAGGATTTGATTTCTGGTTTGTAAAATATTCTTGGCATAGCTTTCTTCAATATTACTGATGAAAAAGGTATGTATCAATATATACTAATTATTGAAAAAAAAATTAAATTATCTAGTTTTTAGAAATATAGAGATGTCAGAATTTATAAATATTGTCGTGGAAATATTCGTAATTTACAAACCATTCTTGATTACAATCAATTTAAAAGAAATGCTAGCTATTCGTAAGAGAGTTTACTGATTTACCAAACAGAGAATTCTACAATTTCAAAAGTCGGTATAATATCATATGCAAATGAAAGTCTATACTAGACTATTTAAATAAGAAGAGAATTTGAAACCAACTGTGATATTTCAAATGCTAATACATAATCTATAATGATAAGATATAAATTTATAAATCTTGTTCAATAATTTATTGCTTATCAAATGAATATATTGGCATAAGTTTCTTAAATATTCTCATTTCTATTGGTCTATTACAATACGTTGACTTGTTGCTACAATTATATAATACTATTTAATTATAATGACTCAGGAATATACCATTACAATCATCAACTTCAACACAAATTTACAACTCTGCTCCATTTTATGAATAATTTCTCTTTGACTTAGTTTGACGATGATTTCAATCAAATTCTAACTACAAGTCCAATACAGATGGTATTTACTATCTCCATGTCCTTCAAAACACTCTTGGACATTATTATTATATCCGTGTTTTAACAATCTAAGAAACTATTGTTTCTGCCAACATCACTTCCACATGTACATTTCTCAGATGCTTCCTGTATTTTGTTTGAATCACAACCTGAAATAATTGAAACAGGTTTAAAGGAATGAAGTATTGAAGTCGAAGTAAATATAATTTACTATCAACTCAATAGTATCTTGAGTTTTGAAAATTAATATTTTCAAAACTCCTCAGAGTATATAAGTAAAATTTCAAAAATTCAGGTACGTAAAAATTTCAAAATGATTAAAAAATTAGTTCATTGATTGAAATTAAAGTTAAATTTTCAGATAAAAATTTCTATAAATATTTTTATCAGAAAAGAACATGAATAAATTTTGAAAAACTTTACCTATACCATGACGTAAATCATCTTGAACCTTATAAAATTCAGCAAGTTCCCGACCGGAACATAGTGGAGTATCAACTTGAGATGTAGAATTAAACAGTGAGTGATCTACTTCATAACCTTGCCTTTCTTTTGAGTATGAAACCATGGGTTCGAAACGATGTCCCCAAAGAATTTCTTGTGGTAAATAACTTGATCTCGCCTGAGTCGTTTGACCAGTTGATTCAATAGTGCCTTCCAAAATAACCACAACTTCGAAACGCTCAGTTAGCATATCTTCAGCAGTCATATTATAAAATGGAGATTCAGCATTTACTCTGTGAATAATAGTCATTGGCCAGATGAAGAAAATATTTCCATTATATCCATCAGTTCCAACTTGTAGTTCTTGTTGATTATGAGCAAGAATTTCACCTTCCTTGGTTGTTTTAGATCGGATCAACTGAGCTCTTACGTTTGCTCCAATAATATGAGACTTTCTCATATCAGCTACCCGGAACATCAAACACAATTCACCATCTCTTTGACAAATGACAGCATTTCTTGAAAATAACAATGTTTGAGTACGTTGTTTCGGTCTGCTCATCTTAGCAAAAACAATTCCAACCATGAAAGCTTGAATCATAACTCCAGCAATACTTTGAATGCACATGACAAATATCGCTTCAGGACATTCCTCTGTAGTTGATCGACTACCATATCCAATCGTATGTTGTGTTTCGATTGAAAAAAGAAAACAGCTTGTGAATGAAAAAATATTATAAATACATGGAGTCCAATGATTTTCAGCTTGAAATGGAGGTAAATGTTTTTCATCAAAATCACCATGAGTGAATGCTATGAGCCACCATATTATTGCAAATCCCAACCAGGACAGTACGAAACTTAATGTAAAACACAATAAAGTCCAACGCCATTGTGTGTCTACTAGAGTGGTAAAGATGTCTTGGAGAAATCGAAGAGATCTTCGTGAGATACGAGATTGAAGGATGTTACATTCACCATTTTTTAGAACCACTCGTCTACGAATTTTTCGGATGGGACCAGACCTAGAGCGATTCCTGCAATATTAATTTACAGAATATTAATTAAGGAAGTTGATGGCTTTAGTAAAAATAATGAAATGTCAATGGTGAAAAATAAATTTTAAGTTTTGATTATAAATAATTATTACCTTCTAACATTATTATTCTCACATTTACTTAATTTTTCTATGAGCGATGGTTCAAATTGAATAAAAATTTGCTTATCACAGTTCACATTTAAATGTTGATTTTTTAGAAACTTATTTTTTTCAAATTTTATAACTTCTTTCACCATTATTATTATGAAACAAAAACAAATGTGATGTTTTTGAAGAAATTTTGTCAATGTCAATGAATGAATACTCTGTTAAATGATCTTAAGGTGAGAAATGAGTGTTCAAATAAAAAAGAATCTCATGCATCGATATCAACTATTGATATAAAATCTTATCATGAAATCGATTGCATTGAGAATCGATATAAGTAAATGTAATTAATTATTATGTATATTTATATTTGTATTATAAATGTGTTAAGAGTAAGAGTAGAGTGATTGTTAAGTATAAATTTAGATATGAATAAATTCGGAGATCTTTTGATATTTTAATTATTTTCTAAATTATTATCTTATCATAGATTATGGTAATGATTATTACTGCTATGTTAAAACTTTATAATAGAATATTTTGAAGTTTATTTTTCTTTTGGTGTCGAGTTACAACAGAATATCGTTGGAATAAAATGTTCTTGAAACTTCTTTTTATGTAGCAATAGTATTTAGCATACTACAAGTATCGCCTCAATGGTGTAATATTTTATTTCGTGATTTTGTTAACAACGTTAAGATTATCATATTTTTATTTAATAATTTATACAAGATTTATTAATACTGAATATGAAGTTTTAATAAATCCCTTCTTCGATGCAGGTGTAGAACTGGAGGCTCAGTTGGAGATGCCCTGTTTTGTTCATACATCTTAATCATACTTTCTCCAAAAGTTAATATTATTTCGCAGGTGTAAATTTAGAAAGGTGACAGTCTTTATCTCTCAGACAAAGACAACACTATTCTACGTACACACAATTCTTTCTTTTACTGGAGAAGCTTTTAATTTTTACCGGGGCCATGCAGTGATGCGAGACCATACACGCGAACCTATGAAAATTCACCTAGTAACCCATGAGGATTGTAAATCCACCTATGGGACTCAACTATTAATCTTTAAGAATGTGGACAGACAAATACTATAACTGGGTCCAATTGCTTTCATTGGTATTTGTTTAAAAATAATTAGTTATAATTATTTACATATTAAATCAATATTTTAACTATGATACTTTTATATTTATAGAACATTAAAATTGATGAATTAGGATTCAAAATTGATTGATTTATTTAAATGATAAAAAAAAAATTTGATAAATGAATGATTTATTTACCTGTAAGAATCCTGTCGAGCAATACCCCCAATACTACTACTCTGCGTGCTCACTCTAATTAGAGTAATATTTCTCGGAATGCCAGCAATATTAATATTATTTTTTTGCCCAAGCAAAGGTGACTCAGCACGTAGTAAATGCTCATCTTGATGTAGTTTTGATTCTAACCCTTGATCGGTATCATCTTCGTTGCCTGGTAGTTGAAAGAGTTTTCGTGGTTCTTCCATGATGATGGATGTCCGTGAGATTATTTATCGTTGAATTATGGATACAATGTATCGAATCCAAAGAATAAAAATCGTCGATACAATCATCTCCGAAACATTTCATTTCATTCTTCAAAGGAATGGAATGGAGTCAACGAAACTTTTTTTTTTCTATTTCGCAACTTTCATTATCGACAAATCATTGAAATAGATGTAAATCTGCAGCAAAATGATTATGGTAAGCAATAATTATTATGTCCAGTAAATAAAACTTGTGTTAATGCATTTGAGTATGGTTGAATGAATTTTTTAATTATTGAATCAGTAAAATTCATTGTAAATTAATGATTATTTTCTAATAGTTTGTTGCAAGTCTTGCTACTGATGAAATTAGCACATGCAGAAAAAAATTTTCTCTGTACAAAAAATATTAATCTGATCAATAAAAATTTAAAATATTCTATTGCTAATATTTAAAATTTTGATATTATAAGTTAAAAAAATATTACTTGTTCATTTTAAATTTAAATAAATATATGAAATGGAGATTTTAATTCAGGGCCAATCATATTATATATCAGCTTGATACTTGCATCAAGTCTTCTGACAAAATACTGATTCAATTATGATGTAGATTTATTTTACTTTAATTACACTACTAATCCAAATATTTAGAAACTAAACATTTGAAGTGTTTACCATGTTAAACACTATAAACAAATAATAGTAATTCTAAACATTTCTTGGTGTTTACTAAAATGCTATGGTTTGTTTATGGTGTTCGACATTCCAAACACTCAAATATTTAATTATTAAATAATTAAAATGTTTTATTACAAAGCATTTGATTTGTTAATTCACGTCAAAATATTTGTTTTCATAAAAAGATTTTTAATAAAAAAAAATTTTCATTAATGTTTGCAACTTTTTTTACATTTAAATGTTATTTTTTGAATAGAATTATTGACAATGCGTTAAAAATAGTATTTGCCATAAACAATAATCTTCTAGTGTGTTATTCATTTCCAAAAGCACGATTTTATGTCCACTCGAAGGTTTTTGTTTTATTGTTATATTTAAATTTTTTTTCTCATAATTACTCTGTTATGTAAATATTAATTACACTATAGATATTCATACGTAAGATATCTACCTCATGTTATTATACGTAATGTATGAACTTCATTAACATAATCGTAATAATTTTTGTCAATACAATGTATTTCTATTTCCATCAGTTTTACTTTTAACCAGCATAATCTTCATAATGACATTCATATATAATTTAACTTGCTTAGTAAGTAATATTAATTTTCATCAATTATTAAAAATTATCGTTGACAATAATATATCTTCGTGACACCATATGAATAAAATGAATGTAGGTCAACATGCGATCGGATGTTGGTTTGTTCAGTCCCCTCTGTAATTATCTATTATTTCCAATAATGAATTATCAACTTTATTTGTATCGTGTAAAATGTAAAAGAATTAACTTTGAATAAGTACTAAATCATCATCATCATCATCATCAAGAGTTAGTTTGATCTAGATATTCACTTTTCAAGTCGATTGACACTTGTACACACTTACCTTTATCACTTTTAAAAGCAATATGTGTAAATAGATTATTTTTGCATTTACTTGTTTATTTTATTTTTCCTTCAATTATTGAAGAATAAAATTTTTTTCATAAAAATAATATTTAAAAATATTTATCCAGAATAAATAGATATAAATGTTGGAAAATATTTTGGAAATATCCACACTTTTGTAATACTTTGACATATTATTATAAAACAGTTTCATACACTTACAGGTATCTTTACAAATCCAAACATTGTATTGTCGAGCACTTTTAACAAATTGTTTACTACTTGAAGATATGTAGAATTAATAAATATAATTTTTTTTTAACATTATATTAACAAGTTCTTTATTTAATTAACACTTTTTATAAAATAATAACAGCTATAGGAAGATGCATACCGGTTAGTAGAATCGTCTAGTCTTTTAATGATGTTAACGTACATTCTATACTCGCCTTTATCCCCTCTTTTTCGACTTCATCACACTCTTTTTTTCTCAACTCCTCCCATCTTTCTTTCAAAATCTACACGTCTCGATACATTATCAAGAGTCTCCACTCTATCACCGTGATAGATGTAGGTGAAACAAAGGTGTTGTCATCAACGTATGTCATCAGGTGCTGTTCCAATACAAAACTATCAATGATATGAAATTTATGAACAAGGATTTCAATTGTAACAATCCGTAACATCTCTTTAAGTTATTATTAATAATAAACTTAACAATAATATTTGTTTCGTCCCAATAATTAACCTGTTTCCAATCTATAATCTTGATTTTTTGGAACTATCAAATTATCACAACGTTTCGGTATCAATAAATATCATCTTCAGCTGACTACAAATAATATGTAGCATTTTCTGAATAAGTAATTGTTGTATAAAATGATAATAGCAATTGGATATACTTTGCATGTAATGCATAATTGAAAATTTGATTTTTTAATTTAAGTTTATTTTTAATTGATGCTATTAACTGCAAGTTATATAGTTTTAATAGAAATGGTTAAAAAATAAATAAAAGTAGCTTAAAACAATGGAGGAAATTTCATTAAAAAAATCCAAGCTTTAAAATGCATGTCATGCACTTCATTGATATCTTGTGTATCTTACATATACACTGACTTTAACATAAAATATATAAATATTATGATTTAAATTGTTTATTTTAATTGTAAAGGAATTTTTTTTAATGCTAAAAACAACAATTATATAAATACAATGACTTTATTATTTTAAATGTAAAATCATCAATTATTGCTCCAATTCAATTGAATTTATAATTAAAATTATTATTATTATTATTATTATTATTATTAATAATAATAAAAGAGGTGTGAAAAATTAATAAATAAATTTAACATTACAAATGATGTCAAAAGTTCATTAAAAGTGTCCTCGATTCATTAAATCTCATCTCTTATCATAATATTTGTTAAGTGATACTTTTAACAGCAAAGTGAATTTTTTTGGATTCAACAAAAGAATAAATTATCATTACACAAATTACTCTTCATTGAAGATAATAATGACGTGGAATTATAAAATAAAAGAGACAATATGTAATGTTGGATACTTTTAATAAATTACAATAGGTATATTCAAGCTTTTAGAAATATAGTCACATGTATGTGAGGATTAAAATAGTATTAAAAGAAAAATAATCTTTTTTTTTGTAGCTGACACAACTTGATAACTAGTTAGACTAGTTTTGCGTGGTATTATACGTCATGTAAAAGAACAAACGGAAACCAAAGAATAGTTCAAGTTGCTGAGATTAAACAATTGTCTGGTGTGATAATAAGAATACTTCCCGCCACTTACTCCATCCTGTTACCTAATATAACTTACCGAGCTTCGATTTATTCATTAAAACTATTAAAATAATGGCGCTGAAAGAGCTTATTTGAAAACCAGTTTGATATTTAAGATATTTACATTTATTCCTACATTTTTAACTTCATCATTATCATTAATTAAAATAATAAAATTTTATTTGAAAATATTAAATTATTTTGTAACAAATAAAGCTCAATCATTCCAATGCAAACGTTATTTAACAATTTTTTATATTAAATTTTATTATATAATAATACGAATGTGCATACTTAATTAATTTATACAAAATGTCCATGGTTTTGTTGGAAGAATTAAAATTTTTATCATACTTTTACACCTCAAATCCTTTTAATCTTTTCAAAAGATTACTGTATGTACAACTTTTGTTTGATAAATAAGAACTATAATCTTGTTTCATATAAACAATGATTACTAAAATCCCCATATTAATTAATTATTATTTTTTTTTCATTTTTTCTAAAGATAGATAGCTTCCATTAACATATTGAAATAAATTGTAGGTCAATGTTTGTGCTTAATTTAGCATAATATTAGTCGTCATCAGAATCATTCAAAATAAAATAATAACTCAAATTTAAATAAACGTCATCATTATTAACAAACATAAATTGATACTGAATATTTTTAAAAAATTTTATTACAGATAATCATTCAAGATTTTTTGATAACTGTTATGCATCATAAGCAATACAACAGTAGTAATGACTGAGATAAATTTAGTCTCAAAGAAATATATAAAGCAACATGAGTAATACCAATCGTGTATGTACGATACATGTATTAATATTTTCTTCAATATTAAAAAAAAATGATTTTTTAATGCTAAGAATATCAATTAAATTTAGATATCGGCTCATCTTCTTTGAATAGTTTTCTGTAGAGAGTTATAGAATAGCCATTCTGTTAAAATGAGCTATCCTAAAATTAGAAGCATGAAACTCTACTGACACTTCTCTATCTTACTCTTTCGCTGTTTTACATACACAACCAAGTGATCTACTTTAGTTCGACTAATATTTAGAAGGTTGAATCAGTACAATTATACAATATTTAATAAGCAAGATCAACCTTAGTCTGTGCAGTAATTAGTGTAAAAGATGCATTGTGAAGGTTGAATAATAGTGAAAAGAAAGAACATTTTAATTGGAAAAGCATTTATAATCATCAATATCTATCAGAAATATCGTGAAATAACATGGAGCTGACACGTGCTGTCGAAGGTACATCAGCTCCATGCTTAGAACGTCTACATGTCAGTGATGGAATAGCTTTATCAGGTCTTCGTAGAGCTATTTCTCAAGTTTCTATGCTAGTTGGGAAAGCGACGAATTCAGGAGAATCTTCTTGGCGTGAAGAATGTCTGAAGTACATATTTTCGTCATTTAGATTAATATTTTCTGAATTAAGTCTGCTTTTAGCATTTGCTTCATGTTTGTTTCTCAATCAGATGATTAATGGATCATCACATGATCTTTTTTTGAAATATTTTGATACATGAAGTAAAGATAATACTATTATTTTATTTTATATAACAGATATTTTCCATTCATTTGCTAAGTCTAACATTGTTATCAAGACAGCTTTTCGAGTTTTTTTTTAGTAAATATGGCTTTTTATATTTTAAGTTTCAATATGATTATTATTTAGGAAAACTTGTGAAGTGAAGTTTTCTTGATTCATTAAAACAATTTGTGAGTAATTGACATTCGTTACTTTTTTCATTAATTTTATCGGAGTTATTTGATTTTAGATACCGTCAAACGAGGTTTAGTTCTAAGAGAGTACGAAAAAGAGTGGTTTTTAAACATGGTGATTGTAATATTGTTCAAGGATATGTAGCTAAAAGACGTCGTAAATATCTTCAGGTAATATCTTGTTAATTAAAAAATCTTTATCAAGTTCATTCATTTTCTAGAATTTTTTCAAAAATATTATTATGTTTATTTATGTCACCTAATAAATAAGTTCAATATAAGTAATAAAACATTATTTACCTTTCTTAGGACATTTTTACAACGTTGGTAGATGCCCAATGGCGATGGACATTGCTTGTATTTTCTATGAATTTTTTATTATCTTGGCTTGGCTTTGCTATGATCTGGTGGCTTATAGTATATTCTCATGGTGATCTTTACAGAGAAGATAATAATGACACTTTTACCCCTTGTGTAGAAGATATTCATGGATTTACCAGTTGTTTTTTATTCTCAGTTGAAACTCAACATACTATTGGGTACGCTAATAGCCAAAGTACAAATTTATTTGTCAACTTTTAATAATAGCAAAACATAATAATTAATTTAGATAATATCATTTATTTATTTATTTATTACTTATGCATTAGTTATGGTTCCAAACATACCACAGAGGAATGTCCTGAGGCTATTTTTGTTATGTGTATACAATCTATGACTGGTGTAATACTCCAAGCGTTTATGGTTGGCATTGTGTTTGCAAAACTTTCCAGACCAAAAAAAAGAACCCAAACATTATTATTTTCTCGTAATGCAGTAATTTGTCAAAGGGATGGACAATCATGTTTGATGTTTCGGGTTGGTGACATGAGAAAGAGTCACATTATTGAGGCTCATGTTCGAGCACAAATGATTAAACGCAAGGTTAGTTTTGATTTAGAAATGAATATATTTGAAGTGTGTGTAGTAAACATATTTATAGATGTTCCATGTTTAACCCCGTAAACAAACTATAGATTTTAATACACCTTGAAGTGTGTTAAAAATGACGACAAAACTCTATAATGTATACATAGTAATTCAACATTGAACACACGCAAGATGTGTTATTTTGACACTCAAGATTTGCAGTATATATTGAAATTTTCAAAGGGGTTTTTATATCCCGGCTTCTTCTTCATCTTGAATAAAATATAATTTTATTGTAGAACAAATCATGATCTACTATTAAAAAGAAAGCTCTTCATTAAAATAATTATTTTTTAAATAATATTTCTGGTTTTCTTCAATAAAAAACAGCTATCTTCTGACTTATTATTTAATAATGTTTAAAAATAATTATTGTTATTGAAATAATCAATTGCATTGTAGGTTACTAAAGAAGGAGAAGTGTTACCTTTTTTCCAAACCGAGCTTAAAGTAGGAGGTGATGGTGAAGAAGATAAAATATTTTTTATCTGGCCAACAACTATTGTTCATAAGATTGATCAGTGTTCTCCTCTGTATCATTTATCTGCTAGTGATATGCTACGAGAACGATTTGAGATCATCGTCATTCTAGAAGGTTTGAACAATTTATTTTTATTCAAAAATGTATATTTCTTTATTTTTTATCTAAAAAATTCTATTCAGGTGTTATTGAATCAACGGGAATGACAACACAAGCACGAAGCTCTTATTTACCTTCTGAAATTTTATGGGGTCATAGGTTCGAGAGTGTCATTACGTTTAGAAAAGAAACTGGTGAATATGAGGTAAATTATACTCTTTTCAATAATACTTACGAAGTCGACACACCTTTATGTTCGGCGGCTCAACTTGATGAGCTCAAAGCTTTACAACGTGCAAAAGGAGGTACATTTGATTCAGAACAAATTATTAAAGAGATTTTTTTATCAATAATAAAAAATAGTAAATTATTGGATGAAATAAATATTACATCTTTGACTTCATATTTTTATTTATCATAATTTGATTTTATTTTATAACAAATATTTTGCATTATCAATAAAAGAATTTCTTTAAGACATAAATATTTTAGTGAAACACAATAATCTTGTCTAGCAAAATGTTAAGACTCAAATCTATAATGTCTTGCAAAATAAAATATTGTCTTAATAATTTGTTAGTTTGGATACACTTTATAAATAATTCTCTATTGAACTAGAGGTGCTAAAACCTTTGATTTTCAGAACGAACAAGTACAACATCATTCCCCAACTATGGAAACAGTTCTAGTAGTTCATTAAAGACAACTTCCGATTCAGGGTCAGAATCTTCGAAAAGTGGTCTTAGGATGTACGTTCCACCAACACCTGTACCAATTTCTGTCATGATTACTGGTCCTGACGAAAATTCTAGCAGTATTAGTTTGTCAGCAATACCGAAATCTACAACATTCGTAACGCTAAATGAGGTACTTATTTCATGTTTATTTGATACTAAAGGTTGCCATGATGATGCAATGTATTTTGAACTCATTTCGCTAATACTAAAGGGAATCACTGATTATCAAGGATTTCATACAAGTATAGATAATAATCAGCATGAAAATGAGAAAAAAGCTATATTGGAAAATGTTGAAAATATTATGTATGATCAGAAAAATTTGGAGGATTTAAATAATCAACAAGTTCGTGAAAATGTATCCAATCCAAGTGTTTTGGTAGAATTAGATGCTCATCAAATTCATTTGGATGATCTAAATATAAAAGATATAAGTAATTCTTCATCAAATTCTGTTGTAGGACAACATTTATTAATCAATAGTTTAGATAATTCTCCAAAGCAAATGCATCAAGATGCCAGGTATGTTAAATATATTTTTTAAATTTTTTATATCAAATTGAAATTATGTGAATTCAAGAAAACATTTATTAACATACAACTCAATATTGACTACATAAATTTTTTCCTTTTCTTTTAAAACTTAATGGATTTAAATGGACTATTCAAACAACATGATAGAAAATTTGAATATGTCAAAAAATTATTATTATTATCCATAAATTGCAGATTTTATAATTTACAAAAGAGGTATGATTGATTCACACATTGAGATAGACTATTAAAAATGCTTCATTACCATACATTTGTTACCTCTTGTGGAGATTAATGATTCATAATAGTGAAAAAAATTCCAATATTTATTATTATTGACGTGTAAGTTCCTTTTATCAATCTATTGATATTTGAAATTTCTTAATTAGTATAGAGATTTATTAATGTTTATTATTTTCTTGCAGGTTTGTAAAATTCATAATTCATCTAATCGATGGATTGTTCTTGCATTAAAGAGATAAATACTCATTTTTAATATTAATTATTATTATCTTATTAAAACTATATTTTCAAGATCAATGGAAAAAGATATTTAGAATTAATTTTGGAATTAACAAAAATTATATTGTTAAATAAAGAGACATTGAATATTTGTAACAAAAGGATATTTGGAAAAAGTCAAACATTGATAAACAACAGCATATATTTTCCAATGATTTATGGTGAATTTGTTTCGTTTAACTATATTTATATAAACAAAATTAACATTACTGATAAAAAATGAAAATTTTTGTATGAATACAACTAAAAATAAATCAAAAATTTACTAGCAATATCATACGTAAGGAAAAATAAATTTAATATTTTGAAATAAAATTTTTGTTTCATGATTTATCATTAAACCGTCGAATATAATTTTATGATGAAAATGAAATTAAAATTACCATTTAGTAATTATTTTTTTTATTCTTTTTCAATCAAAAATACAAATATATTGAATTATCACATATGTGATGAATAATTGGCACATGAGGTAGAAGTTACAATTTTATATGGAATTAAATTGAAAATCATATATGATTTATATAAAAAAAAGATAAAAAATTATTTTATAATCTGAAAAGTAGTACCAAAGTTTTTACACAATATAAAAGTAAAAAAAAAATTAGTTGAACCATTGTATTACATTCAATGAGCATTACCATCTTTTGTTCATTAATTGTTTTGCTTTAACTTTACTGAATTTATTAACTAATTTACATCGCTTTTACTTCAAAAAATATTCAAAAAGAACAATATTATAATCTAAACTACTTTGAAGATGTAGCATTTTCTGGAGGCCATAAATTGTGAAGTTCTTCAGCTACATCAAGTTGTTCTCCTTCTATTATTCCTTTCCATTCAATAACTTTTTTTTTGAAATCATCTTTTTCTTTATCACTTATAAGTACTCTCTCTATGAACTGATTTAAAAATGCATACTGATTATTTGAGATTAATCTCATATATCCCCTTTTTCCAGATTCTATGAGTTGATTTCTGAGATCTGGTATTGTTGGATCATTAAATATCAAATTAATACTTTCTAAGTCCTGTACTGCTAGTAATTCGTTTACAAGACCACTTATACCAGAATATATCATCTTTCGTTTAGTAGTAACTAGAAGATGACTCCAGACTGTTTGTAATATACTAGAGTAAGTGGTATTTTTTATATTACAGCCTTTCTTGTGTTCATGAGACATTTTCCTTGAAGATTCAAATAACATTATACTAAGTGTGAGACTATTAGTCTTTACATATGGCAACATATCGTTTAATACTGGTATGAAAAGTTCTTGCCATGGCCACACAAACAACAACATTACTAGAATTTTAGATTTTACATCTTCATTCATAATGTCAAAATCATCAACGTTTTCCAGTGATAATTCTTGATTGAAAAGAAATTCCTTTTGATCTTTATTCATCTGGTTTATTAAAAATAAACAGATCTCTGCATACCTCTCTTTCTTGTGATTCTTTATTTTTTTATTCTCAATTTCATAATCATCGTAACACATCATAGCCATGCGAGTACAGTCTATAATACAAGCATTTCTTTCTCTTTCATTTATCTTCCCCCAAAAATATTTAGCTGCAATATGATCACCTTCATGTACTGACATCCACAACATATTTTCTTCTGGAGAATGATCAATGCGATATGAAAAATCATATTCGTACGTAAGTGGTTCTTTTAACATATAGAATGTATCGAAATAGAATTTCAATAAAGGCAGATTACCATCTCTCCAATGTCTCCAATATACCCATATATGTCGATCAACATTCGTAAATATGTCCTCATCACATTGTTTTTTCGAATCTTCTGACATTTGTTCCCACAAATCATCGATATGTTCCTCCAATGCATAATAACATGCAATACAATACATTATTTTAGGAAAACGATTTGGATTATTTGACAAATATGATTCGAATATTTTAACTTCATCAATAGTACCATAAGGTGTCCAGTATATTTCATCTAAATAATCTTTCACTTCTTCTATTTTAAACGGGAATTGATTCTCGATTTCAATAAGGACATACCAATTGTATAATTTTTCTCCTAATTTCCTGACAAAATACATCAGTTCATTCTCTAAAGTTGGAGGTAATACATGTTGATTTAATTCTTTGACTAGGTTGATAATTTGTCGCCATTTTCTTTCAACTCCGGCTTTTGTCAATCTTCCATCGAGATTAGCAAGCTGTCTGATTTTACGTTTAACTTCATTCTTTTTCAGGAGTGATATTGCAACAGATAATGTTGCTTTTTGCTGTAGATTAAATTGAAAATCATAAGGCATCTTGATGTTGATATTCGTCTAAAAAATATATATATATTCCATTATTAAATGAAAGAATATTACAATATTAATTAATTCATCAGTATATGCTATTGATTAACTTAAATATTTTTTTCATTTCAAATGTAAATCAGATAAGTTAGTAGTTTTTATGCTAACTTTTTAATTTGATAGTATACAAAAATAATTGAAACACAAAAATAAACTTACAACTAGTATTATGAATTCAATAACTACTAATAATTATACAACAATGAATTGTTTGGACAAAGCAAATCAATGCAAAATGAGCCCTAGGCAATGCCTACATGATCGAGTCGATTGTTTAGGCGGGACCGGCAAGGCTGATTTTGTTTACATCATGAAGGTTAGAAAAAGTTACATGCTGAAATGATAAAATGGCCACTGACTACAGAGAGAAGACTGAGAGTGTCCACTCTATGAAAATTTGTAACATCAAAACATCGCCATCTGAATCTAAAATGAATGTGAGGAACTAAAATATGTACAAAAGGTATCTTTATGGAGTAGACCCTCTCTAGCATTGATTATTACTGGTTTGAGGTTAGAAACACTTCTCCAATGTTGATCAACAAGTAATTATTTATCAGTTTGTAGGATTTGTAGATATTTAATTTATATATAAAAAAAATGTCCTATCTATGTGGAAAATTGTGTTCAACTATTTTATTAGAACATTTTGGACCAATTGTTCAAAAAGTTGGAGATTGTTTATTTCAAAATGATTCACAAACTTTATTTTTTATTCGTAGACATACATCTCTTCCAATGGAGAAGGTAATGAACTTATCTAAAAGCTTTCACAAAATTTTAATAAATATTATAAAAACTTATTTTTTATATTTCCAGATAAAAGAATCACTCTGTGTTTTAATTAAATTTGGACTGGTGACATTTGATCAGCAAGGAAAACTTTTTTGGTATAAAATACATTCTGAAAAGATCATTACAATGTTGCGTTACTCTAGGTAATTATCAATTCAATTAAAGTAATTATAAATTTGTATCTCTAATTATTTTAATTGACTTTACATGTTTCAGATTTATGTTTTTTATAAAAAAGTGTAGTGGAGATGAATGTGAAATAATATTCGAGGAAATATTAAAACAAGGAAATGAAACTGCATCTCAAGTAATTATCAAGACTTATCAAAAGATAGCACAAGGTATGAAAATGAAAGAATAAAAATAAATGTAAAAGCTTATTAGATACTCATAAAATAAATTTATCAATTTTACAGTTAGTCAAGAACCATCTGTCGAGAATTTAGTAAATAAATTTCAATTATTAGTTAAAAATCAATTTCTAATACGAAATATTAACGATAAACCTGAAAAATCAATTAATAGCTGTGAGTTTGATATGCCGAAATTAAATATAAGTTCAATCATAAAAAAAATTCAAGGAATTGAAGCAGATCCTGGTGACAGTAAGATTTATTGGAAAGTCAACTTTGACAGATTAATACAAGACTTAAGGTATGTAAAACAAATATAGACAAATTATTGCAACTATTTCACATAACTTATCCTGAAATCTATTTGTAGGGATGAGATTGTGGTGAGTGCAGTAGAAAGGATGATTGATAATCATGCTAGTGAATTGATGCGTCAACTTATTTATTTAATGTATACCCGAACAGCTTCTTGGGTAGACACATCGAATCCTATTCCTTACCATGAAATCAAAGATAAAGTTAAAAATTTAAATGCTCCAGAACTCTATGATTACTTGGATCAATACTTGCAACTTCTAGGTAAGAATTTATCAATTCATTATATTTGTTAATATTGATATTGAATTAATAAAATGAATATTCTAGTGGACGATCCCAGAAGATTCGTTAAACGAGTTGGAGACTCAGGTGGTGGTCAATTCTGTGTTGATATGAAAGAAGCTTTTGCTCAACTGGCTTGGGCTACAATAGAAAATATTGTACTTGAACGATTTGGATCTAAAGCAGCAAGAATTTTTCGGTATTATTACAATTTAATTAACATGATTTATAGTTGTTAATATTAATAATTGAAGTTAATGTTTTTTTCAACAGATTAGTTCGCAGTGAAAAATTTATTGAACAACAACATATACATGAATTAATTATGTTTCCTGTAAAGGAAGCTAAGGATCTGACTTATGCGCTTTTGGAAAAGAATTATTTAAAAATGCAAGAAATCAAAAAAATGAATGCATCTGCTGCACCATCGAAAATATTTTATTTATTTCACATTGATATTAATCAAGTGGTTCGTATGGAAATTGAACATTGTTATCATGCACTTTACAATACCATACAAAGGCGGAATCATGAAATTTCCAGCAACAAGCGTATGATGGATAAAAATATTAGATTGCAAACTCTTATTAGTAATTTAAAAGAACATGGTGCTCCTGAAGATCAAATAGAACAGGTAGAAAACAAAATTTACATTTTTGTTAATAATATTTTTGCAAAAACTTAATGGAGATTTTTTGTTTTTAGATGGAAAAGCTTATTACTCCATCGGAACAAACACAATTAGACAAAGTACAGAAAACAATTAAAACTCTAGGAGGAGCTGAACTCTACATTGAAGATACTTTATTTTTATTAACAATGTACTTGCGGTATCATTAATATTAATATAATGATAATAAATAAAACAAAAATAATTTTCATATTTTCAAAATACGAGGTTTTTTGTGGCGCCCTCTGTTCAAAACATAATTTACAAAACTTAGGTAATTTACGAACAACAAAAAATCTTCTTACCGACTGAGCAATCAATCAAACATTTCGTTTTGCACAAGCAGGAAAGAGAGACCAGTATAGAAGTTTTCATGTAGGAGCTAAACACATGCAGTCCGCATTCATGAAAATAACCGCAAGATGGCACGCCAACCGGGCATCTCACAATAGCTATAATCAAGACACTAGGGTAGCAATGGACCGGAAATGGCTATAATTCTAGCATAAATTATGCTCGGATCATAATTTTAACTAGTGCATTCGAAAGCTCTCGATCTCAGGAATCCATCGATATGCTTGTGGTCCACGTTCCTCTTATAGATCCTGAGATATCGGCCAAAAACGAAGCTATGCTCCGATAAAACATAAAAAAAACTTTAAACGCTCATAACTCGAAAACTAAGCGAGATACGGCATTTTTGACGGGGTTATCCTATAGGGGGAGCCCAATTTATTACTCTGGTCCAGATCTTTCATATGAGTCCTCGTTCAACCCCGTAGCATTATATGCTTCGAAGTTATGCATTTTTTTATGTTTTGCAGTTTTTCGAGAATATCTCGTAATCTATCTAACCAAATTTAATCGACAGCCAGTGTTTGGAACCCATCTCGTCCCCGTCTTCCCAGTGACATCCTTAATTTTATGATCCAAGCATAAATACGCTTTTTAGCTATTTTTGAGGTTAGAAATAGAAATTCTCGGATTTTGATAATTGGGGGTTATTTTGGACGATTCGATGCTCTAAAATTCGACTTTAAATAACAAATTAATTTCAACGACCTCGAGACCGGAAATGGCTATAATTCTAGCATAAATTATGCTCGGATCATAATTTTAACTAGTGCATTCGAAAGCTCTCGATCTCAGGAATCCATCGATATGCTTGTGGTCCACGTTCCTCTTATAGATCCTGAGATATCGGCCAAAAACGAAGCTATGCTCCGATAAAACATAAAAAAAACTTTAAACGCTCATAACTCGAAAACTAAGCGAGATACGGCATTTTTGACGGGGTTATCCTATAGGGGGAGCCCAATTTATTACTCTGGTCCAGATCTTTCATATGAGTCCTCGTTCAACCCCGTAGCATTATATGCTTAGAAGTTATGCATTTTTTTATGTTTTGCAGTTTTTCGAGAATATCTCGTAATCTATCTAACCAAATTTAATCGACAGCCAGTGTTTGGAACCCATCTCGTCCCCGTCTTCCCAGTGACATCCTTAATTTTATGATCCAAGCATAAATACGCTTTTTAGCTATTTTTGAGGTTAGAAATAGAAATTCTCGGATTTTGATAATTGGGGGTTATTTTGGACGATTCGATGCTCTAAAATTCGACTTTAAATAACAAATTAATTTCAACGACCTCGAGACCAGAAATGGCTATAATTCTAGTATAAATTATGCTCGGATCATAATTTTAACTAGTGCATTCGAAAGCTCTCGATCTCAGGCATCCATCGATATGCTTGTGGTCCACGTTCCTCTCATAGATCCTGAGATATCGGCCAAAAACGAAGCTATGCTCCGATAAAACATAAAAAAAACTTTAAACGCTCATAACTCGAAAACTAAGCGAGATACGGCATTTTTGACGGGGTTATCCTATAGGGGGAGCCCAATTTATTACTCTGGTCCAGATCTTTCATATGAGTCCTCGTTCAACCCCGTAGCATTATATGCTTCGAAGTTATGCATTTTTTTATGTTTTGCAGTTTTTCGAGAATATCTCGTAATCTATCTAACCAAATTTAATCGACAGCCAGTGTTTGGAACCCATCTCGTCCCCGTCTTCCCAGTGACATCCTTAATTTTATGATCCAAGCATAAATACGCTTTTTAGCTATTTTTGAGGTTAGAAATAGAAATTCTCGGATTTTGATAATTGGGGGTTATTTTGGACGATTCGATGCTCTAAAATTCGACTTTAAATAACAAATTAATTTCAACGACCTCGAGACCAGAAATGGCTATAATTCTAGTATAAATTATGCTCGGATCATAATTTTAACTAGTGCATTCGAAAGCTCTCGATCTCAGGCATCCATCGATATGCTTGTGGTCCACGTTCCTCTTATAGATCCTGAGATATCGGCTGAAAACGGAGCTCTGCTCCGATAAAACATAAAAAAAACCTTTAAACGCTCATAACTCGAAAACTAAGCGAGATACGGCATTTTTGACGGGGTTATCCTATAGGGGGAGCCCAATTTATTACTCTGGTCCAGATCTTTCATATGAGTCCTCGTTCAACCCCGTAGCATTATATGCTTCGAAGTTATGCATTTTTTTATGTTTTGCAGTTTTTCGAGAATATCTCGTAATCTATCTAACCAAATTTAATCGACAGCCAGTGTTTGGAACCCATCTCGTCCCCGTCTTTCCAATGACATCCTCAATTTTATGATCCAAGCATAAATACGCTTTTTAGCTATTTTTGAGGTTAGAAATAGAAATTCTCGGATTTTGATAATTGGGGGTTATTTTGGACGATTCGATGCTCTAAAATTCGACTTTAAATAACAAATTAATTTCAACGACCTCGAGACCAGAAATGGCTATAATTCTAGTATAAATTATGCTCGGATCATAATTTTAACTAGTGCATTCGAAAGCTCTCGATCTCAGGCATCCATCGATATGCTTGTGGTCCACGTTCCTCTTATAGATCCTGAGATATCGGCTGAAAACGGAGCTCTGCTCCGATAAAACATAAAAAAACCTTTAAACGCTCATAACTCGAAAACTAAGCGAGATACGGCATTTTTGACGGGGTTATCCTATAGGGGGAGCCCAATTTATTACTCTGGTCCAGATCTTTCATATGAGTCCTCGTTCAACCCCGTAGCATTATATGCTTCGAAGTTATGCATTTTTTTATGTTTTGCAGTTTTTCGAGAATATCTCGTAATCTATCTAACCAAATTTAATCGACAGCCAGTGTTTGGAACCCATCTCGTCCCCGTCTTCCCAGTGACATCCTTAATTTTATGATCCAAGCATAAATACGCTTTTTAGCTATTTTTGAGGTTAGAAATAGAAATTCTCGGATTTTGATAATTGGGGGTTATTTTGGACGATTCGATGCTCCGAAATTCGACTTTAAATAACAAATTAATTTCAACGACCTCGAGACCGGAAATGGCTATAATTCTAGCATAAATTATGCTCGGATCATAATTTTAACTAGTGCATTCGAAAGCTCTCGATCTCAGGCATCCATCGATATGCTTGTGGTCCACGTTCCTCTTATAGATCCTGAGATATCGGCTGAAAACGGAGCTCTGCTCCGATAAAACATAAAAAAAACCTTTAAACGCTCATAACTCGAAAACTAAGCGAGATACGGCATTTTTGACGGGGTTATCCTATAGGGGGAGCCCAATTTATTACTCTGGTCCAGATCTTTCATATGAGTCCTCGTTCAACCCCGTAGCATTATATGCTTCGAAGTTATGCATTTTTTTATGTTTTGCAGTTTTTCGAGAATATCTCGTAATCTATCTAACCAAATTTAATCGACAGCCAGTGTTTGGAACCCATCTCGTCCCCGTCTTCCCAGTGACATCCTTAATTTTATGATCCAAGCATAAATACGCTTTTTAGCTATTTTTGAGGTTAGAAATAGAAATTCTCGGATTTTGATAATTGGGGGTTATTTTGGACGATTCGATGCTCTAAAATTCGACTTTAAATAACAAATTAATTTCAACGACCTCGAGACCGGAAATGGCTATAATTCTAGCATAAATTATGCTCGGATCATAATTTTAACTAGTGCATTCGAAAGCTCTCGATCTCAGGCATCCATCGATATGCTTGTGGTCCACGTTCCTCTTATAGATCCTGAGATATCGGCTGAAAACGGAGCTCTGCTCCGATAAAACATAAAAAAACCTTTAAACGCTCATAACTCGAAAACTAAGCGAGATACGGCATTTTTGACGGGGTTATCCTATAGGGGGAGCCCAATTTATTACTCTGGTCCAGATCTTTCATATGAGTCCTCGTTCAACCCCGTAGCATTATATGCTTAGAAGTTATGCATTTTTTTATGTTTTGCAGTTTTTCGAGAATATCTCGTAATCTATCTAACCAAATTTAATCAACAGCCAGTGTTTGGAACCCATCTCGTCCCCGTCTTCCCAATGACATCCTTAATTTTATGATCCAAGCATAAATACGCTTTTTAGCTATTTTTGAGGTTAGAAATAGAAATTCTCGGATTTTGATAATTGGGGGTTATTTTGGACGATTCGATGCTCCGAAATTCGACTTTAAATAACAAATTAATTTCAACGACCTCGAGACCGGAAATGGCTATAATTCTAGCATAAATTATGCTCGGATCATAATTTTAACTAGTGCATTCGAAAGCTCTCGATCTCAGGCATCCATCGATATGCTTGTGGTCCACGTTCCTCTCATAGATCCTGAGATATCGGCCAAAAACGAAGCTATGCTCCGATAAAACATAAAAAAACCTTTAAACGCTCATAACTCGAAAACTAAGCGAGATACGGCATTTTTGACGGGGTTATCCTATAGGGGGAGCCCAATTTATTACTCTGGTCCAGATCTTTCATATGAGTCCTCGTTCAACTCCGTAGCATTATATGCTTAGAAGTTATGCATTTTTTTATGTTTTGCAGTTTTTCGAGAATATCTCGTAATCTATCTAACCAAATTCAATTGACAGCCAGTGTTTGGAACCCATCTCGTCCCCGTCTTCCCAGTGACATCCTTAATTTTATGATCCAAGCATAAATACGCTTTTTAGCTATTTTTGAGGTTAGAAATAGAAATTCTCGGATTTTGATAATTGGGGGTTATTTTGGACGATTCGATGCTCCGAAATTCGACTTTAAATAACAAATTAATTTCAACGACCTCGAGACCGGAAATGGCTATAATTCTAGCATAAATTATGCTCGGATCATAATTTTAACTAGTGCATTCGAAAGCTCTCGATCTCAGGCATCCATCGATATGCTTGTGGTCCACGTTCCTCTCATAGATCCTGAGATATCGGCTGAAAACGGAGCTATGCTCCGATAAAACATAAAAAAACCTTTAAACGCTCATAACTCGAAAACTAAGCGAGATACGGCATTTTTGACGGGGTTATCCTATAGGGGGAGCCCAATTTATTACTCTGGTCCAGATCTTTCATATGAGTCCTCGTTCAACTCCGTAGCATTATATGCTTAGAAGTTATGCATTTTTTTATGTTTTGCAGTTTTTCGAGAATATCTCGTAATCTATCTAACCAAATTCAATTGACAGCCAGTGTTTGGAACCCATCTCGTCCCCGTCTTCCCAATGACATCCTTAATTTTATGATCCAAGCATAAATACGCTTTTTAGCTATTTTTGAGGTTAGAAATAGAAATTCTCGGATTTTGATAATTGGGGGTTATTTTGGACGATTCGATGCTCCGAAATTCGACTTTAAATAACAAATTAATTTCAACGACCTCGAGACCGGAAATGGCTATAATTCTAGCATAAATTATGCTCGGATCATAATTTTAACTAGTGCATTCGAAAGCTCTCGATCTCAGGCATCCATCGATATGCTTGTGGTCCACGTTCCTCTCATAGATCCTGAGATATCGGCTGAAAACGGAGCTATGCTCCGATAAAACATAAAAAAAACCTTTAAACGCTCATAACTCGAAAACTAAGCGAGATACGGCATTTTTGACGGGGTTATCCTATAGGGGGAGCCCAATTTATTACTCTGGTCCAGATCTTTCATATGAGTCCTCGTTCAACCCCGTAGCATTATATGCTTAGAAGTTATGCATTTTTTTATGTTTTGCAGTTTTTCGAGAATATCTCGTAATCTATCTAACCAAATTTAATCGACAGCCAGTGTTTGGAACCCATCTCGTCCCCGTCTTCCCAGTGACATCCTTAATTTTATGATCCAAGCATAAATACGCTTTTTAGCTATTTTTGAGGTTAGAAATAGAAATTCTCGGATTTTGATAATTGGGGGTTATTTTGGACAATTCGATGCTCTGAAATTCGAATTTAAATAACAAATTAATTTCAACGACCTCGAGACCGGAAATGGTTGTAATTCTAGCATAAATTCTGCTCGGATCATCCGTCTCGTCTCGATCTTTCCGATGACATCCTTAATTTCATAATCCAAGCAGAAATCCTATGTGTACCTTCAAAGGCTCATAACTCGAAAGCTAAGCGCAATAATGTTTGGCTAACTTCCTGAAAACGTGCCAGAATTTCAAAATACATTATATATATTCATAAACTGTCTATTGTTGTTATTGAAATTAATCAATTAATAAAAAAAATAATATTGATATGCTTGAACACAAAACCAACGTTTCCGGAGTTGAGCGTGTTACCTCTGAGCTGTTACAAAAATATTGAGTTGGTTTTATAGCTTTTATGTATGGTGCGAACAGAGCCGGACCTTTTCCATTTAAAAATTGGTGCTTGAAAGCAAACTGGCTTAGGATTCTTGTAATGAGAATAAAAGAGACCATAAAGCTTATCTCTTTACTCTCTCAGATTGAGGGGTGTGGCTAGAATTGTGGGAAACAGGTTGTACCCAACATTAAATTAAGTCCAATTATTAATAACAATTATTTTTTTATAATCAAACTACTACTATTGTTACATTAAAATTAACATTTACTGCACGCCGTGTGCATACGATGTACGTTAGATCAAAATTATAGCATTATAGTCGGACTGAGAAGAGTGTTCCTCAGATGCTCTTCATGTGTTCTTGTACGCTTGCGCAGTAGTAAAAAAACATGGCAGAAGGGGTAGAAAATCAGTGGTGGGGAGCCCGAAAGCATTGAAGCAACTGAGGAACTTAGAGATGTGAATTTACCGGTAATAGAAAATTCGGTAATTACCACGTAAAATTACCGGTATCTGACGGTATTCTGACGTCAAAAAATTCTGAATGTAAAATTTACCGTCAAGCCGTCGGTCAGCGTAATTACCGTAAATTACCGGTCATTCGCATCTATATAGATGAATATGATGAGCTTTTTACCGAGGAAATGGCTTGCTTTCGAACTTGCTTGCCAATTTGCTTATGTTAATTTTGCTTTTTGCACTTGTTAATTTAAAACTAATTAATTATTATAAGATGAAAAAAAAATTTTGTAATTTGTAATAAAAAAAATATTTTACATTTTTGACTGTTAGGACAGAAATAATAAATATATTGAAAATTATTATAAACGTTTATTTAGTTAAGTTTTTGGTACATTTTTTTTATAAAATAGATAATCCTTCGTTATTACATATTATAAAGAATTTGACTTTTTTAACTTTTATGTAAATTATTTATGAAAAAATAAAACCATATAATCTATAGTTTCTATCAACTAGTAATATCACATAATAATTGACATATTTCATTAGGAAATAACAAGTCTAATACTGATTCAATTCCATCAACATCACTAATTAGTCTTGAGTAAATTCTTCTTCTAAAAATTCAACTTCTTCATGCTCAGCACAAATTTCACTTATTTCATCCTCTCCTTTATTACTTTCCTCATCTTCTTCCCATTCTTCTTCTGTATTTTTTGGTGAAGGATTAAGTAATTTTAAATTTCTTGCAATGTATGTTATTTTTCCAGCTCTATCGATACTTAACTTATTTCTTTTAGATGAATGAATCCATCCTTGTGTACTAAAGGAACGCTCGGTTGCAGCTGATGTTGCAGGTAAAGTCAATATAGCCACAGCTATTTTGCTCAACGAAGATTTTTGGCAAATACTTTGCCACCATTGACATGCTGAAGTGATTATACTTGCTCGCTTAACGTAGTCGTAACTCCACATACTTGATTCTGACACATAATGTACTTTATTTATTAAAGGGTTATCACCCTCTAAAATATTTATCCACTTTACAATCGGTTTCATCAATTGAAGAATTTGTTGAAGATTATTCCAAAATTCTTCATTTAGTACAAGAGCACGAGAAGCAGGTTTCCATAATGTAATAGCCTTTGAAGAAATTGCTAAAGCCTGAAGATTATGCTTATTAACACAAAGACTGTCAATCATAATTATAGTAGATCCAAATCTTGTCTTAGCTGGTAATTTTAAGGTAATAAATACTCTACGTTCATCTTGAGATTGAATTTCTTTGAAAATCGCTGACATTATTTGTACTTCTTTTATTCCTTTTACAATAGCTGTTGCACTTGTCACCAAAGTTTCAACAGTTGCTTGACTACCAATATCTTTCATGAGTAGGTTAAGAATGTGAGCAGCACAACCATAACAATACAATTTGTCGACATTATACTTTTGATCTATCAAAGTCCAAGCACTTTTCATTGCAGCACAATTATCTGTACAAATTCCGATAACTTTTTTAATTCCCAAAGCATCAATAACACTTCCTATTTTTTCAGAAATATATAAGGCAGTTTGTGATTCGGTTCCAGTTGGAAATGTTTTGAAAAAAACTGGCGCTGGGGTTGTTACAATAAAATTGATGATTCCTTCTTTGCGAATATTAGACCATGCGTCACATTGCACTCCAACAGTAGTAGCAGATTCAATTTTTTCATTAACCATATTTTGTGTTCTAACGAATACTGAATCTAAAAGATTATTTGATATTTGATTTCTTGATGGCAAATTAAATGAAGGCCGTAATGCGTTAAAAAATTTTAGCCAATATGGATTTTCTGTTATACATAATGGTGTACCAGATGCATAAATCGCTTCTGCAAGTAGTTCTTGTAGAGAATCTTCATCTTTTTTTGACATTTTATCACAAAAACTATCGATTGTATTTTTTTCATAGTTATTGCTACAAACACTTATATTATTTGGTAAATTTTCATTTGAAATCATTGAAGTACTTGCTCTATTGTCTGCTTCATTCAAATCTTCAATAGTAAATGAGTCGTCTGTGCTGTTTAGATGAGAATTATTTCGTTTACGAGGTTTACATGGTTTTAAAAGTTTCCGTAAGTCTTGAGGACAACTTCTACACTCTTTATAAAGATGTTTTCGCATGCGAGTAATGTTTTCTGCATACTTTCTCTTGCAATAGTTACATGAATACGATTTTAATTTTTGGTTAGATTGCAGAGGTAATGCAGAGAAATGTTTATATATTGATTTGTTCTCCCCCATTGCACCAAGTTCTCAATGAAAATCCTTATCTACAAATTGAATTTTCTTATATTAAATATTATCAGTATTTTTAATAAACAAATAAAAATGAAAATATATACCTGATAGAACAAATAAACAGTTGTATGCCGTTGGGAATTCTAAACTGTGATTGGACATGTATTAACCAATCAGAGATCAGCATTTTTCTGACCGGTATGGTAAAACAGGCTTGGTCATTGACGCGTTTTTTACCGGTAATTTACGGTAAATTTACCCGTCAATTACCGATTCACATCTCTAACGTTAGATCAAAATTATAGCATTATAGTCGGACTGAGAAGAGTGTTCCTCAGATGCTCTTCATGTGTTCTTGTACGCTTGCGCAGTAGTAAAAAAACATGGCAGAAGGGGTAGAAAATCAGTGGTGGGGAGCCCGAAAGCATTGAAGCAACTGAGGAACTCTTTTCTGAGTTCGACTATACATATATTAAGGTAGAAGATGGGGAAAATAAAGGCTGATCTCCAAAGAATAAACCGCTGCAGCGCCATCTCTTGATAGGTGCACAGAAACTTTTATGTTGTGACCTGAGATTACTGACATGTTGACCCAAAATACCAACATGTTGACCGAAACTTCGTCCGGATTTTTAACATAGCATTGGATTTCTACACTGTTCTCTCTTCTTTGGCACGAGTGAAGTTGAGATTTCTGTATGTTATAATACTTTTTAATAAATAAATAATTGTTACAAGCTAAGTAAGTAGTAACTCATCTTTAGTTCTAATATTTAAACATAATATAGTCAATAAAAAGAACAATATATTCATTTATTTATTTACTTTATGCTACATGTCCTACCCACGTGAAACTAACATAACCTTTTTCATAAATAAACATCAAGTTTTAAATATTATTAACATTTAATTTTTTTATTTTACAGATAATGAGAGATTTTCCACGAGGAGGTAAAGAACTTATTGTTCTGCCTTCATCTAATTTAGTAAGTCAATTTTGATTATAATAAGTAAATTGGATAACTTGTGTTTAACCTAAAGTATTAAATAATTTTTTTGTTTATAGCTATCCGGTAAAAATGGAAAACATAAAAAAGAAGGGAAATTACATCGAAAAAATAAAAATAAAAGTGACATTTCATCTGAAATCGATGCGAATTTTACACCAAACACTGCTGACTGCTTGACCTACACGACTTTGTTGGAAGGAATGATCGTTCTTGCTCGAGTTCATGCAGTCACAGAATACAATATTGCAGTGTCTCTACCCGGACGTATTGGCGGACAAATTCCAATTACAAATATTAGTGAATCTTATAATAATTTGTTACAAAGTTTAGTTGAATCAAAAGGTTCCCAACAAGATGAATTTAAATCTCTTTCTGATCTATGTAAACGTGGAGATTATCTTGTTTGTTATGTAAAAAACACTGATGCATCAGGAAAATATCGAATAACTCTTTCAATAGAACCGCAATTAATTAACCAAAGTTTAAATCTTTCACTTCTACGGAAAGGTGCTAAAATTATTTGTTCAGTTGCCAGTGTTGAAGATCATGGATATGTTGTGGATACTGGAATCAAAACCCTTCGAGGATTTTTATCAAATAATGATGTTCAGAATAATCTTAAATACTGTAAGTATAATTTTATTTTATCGTTTATTATTAAATAAGATTACTAAATTTTTCTCAATTTAAATTATTTCCAATAGATCCCGGTCAACAGATTTCTTGTTACATTAAAACATTAAAGTCTGATGAGAATATGACAACAATTAAATTAACTACAAAATCCAAATCTGACCAACTCGTAATTTCTGATGACCAACCTCTGGATGGATTAATTCCTGGCATTCGTTTAAACTTGAACATTAGTAAAATTTTGTCTAATGGTTTACAAGTTACCTTCAATGAATCCAACATCGGTTATATCAATCAACTATATTTGAAGAAACCTCTTTCGACATACGAAAAAGGATCAGAAATTTCTGCGACACTTATGTATGTTCTTCCAACAGTTAAATATGCATATTTCTGTCAATGTTCTCTTAATAATGAGAAAACATCCATAGAAGTTGGAGAAATGATAGAGAATGCGCAAGTATTATTCAAAGAATCGAGAGGTGTAGTTTTTTCTTTGAAGAAAGGAATTCGAGGCTTTCTGCCATTTAAAAGAGCAAACGTTGATCACGAAAAAATTAATGAAACATTTACTCCTGATTCTGTTCACAAATGTCGAATCATCTCTTACGAAATGTTTGATCGAGTTTATATTTGTTCAATGCAACAAAGTGTAGTGAAAGGAAATACTTTGATTCCTGAAGCAATACATCCTGGAGACAAAACAACAGTAGAAATAATTAAAATTAATGATAATGGATTTCTTGTAGTCAAATCTGGATCAATTCTTGGTAATGTGGCACCAGAACATGTACATGACGTTGATGAAGAAGACGCGAAACCACTGAAAATTGGAGATAAGGTTGAAGCTAGAGTTTTAGGACATCATACTCAAGGCAATGGAATAATGTTTACCTTAAAGAAGTCGCTAGTTAACAGTAAAAAAAAAATATTAAGTGATATTAATGATGCTAAAATTGGACGAAAATATCAAGCAGTAGTCATTTCTGTCCGTGATGAAGGATTACTTGTGAAATTTTATGAGAATTTAAAAGGCTGGATACCTGCTAAACTGTTGGATAAAAAAATCGGTGGGACTAAAAATTATGTTGTAGGACAAGTAGTGATGGTAACAATTAAAGAAATTGACAAAGAAAATGGAAAATTAATCTTATTTATGTATGACAAAACAAAAATGAACAAGAAAAAGGAGGATGCACTAGAGGAATTAAAGATTGGAAGTCTTGTTGAAGGATCAGTTGTCGAATCATCTATCAACGGAATTTATATACGAATTAAAATAAAAAATGACTCTGATACTGTTACTGGATTCTTACCAGCAGGTCATATGGCACCTTGTACAGAAATTGGAACTTATCTATCTGCTAAATATGTCCCTGGAGATAAATTATCAGCACTAGTTTTTTCAGTAACTCCAGAATTATTATTATCAAGAACTTTTACTCTGCAAAAAGAATCTCCGGTATTTAATAACCTCAAAGTAAATGAATGTATTCCTTGCTCTATTAAGGAAATCAGTACAAACGGTTTAAAAGTGATTCTATCAGTTGAAGATTTCAATGATTATGGGGTTATACCTTATCATAAGGTAGATAATACCGAAGCTCTATCAACGAATCAATTGTTATTTGGAAAAATAACTGGAATTAATAAAAAAGAAAAGAAACTATTTCTGACAACTTCTTTACACGAAATATGGACTGAAGTTGTGAAAAATGATTCTGATATGATTGCAGCTGTTGATCTATTAACATTATATTTCAGTAAATTAAAAGAGTTGTGCAATCATGATTGCTATAAAAATAAAAAAATAGCTTCGATGCATTTAGGTCAAAGAGTATCAGGAATTGTTGACCAAGTTACTGATCATGGCTTAATAGTAAAACTTGAGAACGATGTAATGGCCACAGTACGTCAAAATCATTTCTATGGAACGTTTGAAAAAGGAGATGAAGTTAAAGGATCAGTTTTATGGGTCAATTATATCCATGAAATTGTGGAAATCACTCTTATACCTGCTTTGGTAAATAGAATCACTGTCAAACAAAAAAAATTATCCGAAACATCTACAGATGTCCAATTAAGAGGTGAAATTCTTTTAGTGACTAATTGGTTCATTTTAGTATTATTGAAAGGTCAAGCCAAAGGGACCTTAGCTGCTTTACCTGCTAGAAGACATATTAATGACTTAGAACCTAACCTTCGTCCTTATACAGTTGGAAAAGAAATCAGATGTTATGCCGTTCTTGGTAAAAATGAGACTGATTTACTTCCTATCTGTCTAGTCAAATCTGCTTTTGAAACTAGAAAATCTGCATTGCTACAAAAAAATTCCTTGAAACGTGAAATTAAAAAAGATAGTGAAGATAATGTCACGGGTAAAAAAGTTAAAAGATTAAAAGTTTCTAATATTAATTCCAATAATTCAGTTGAAATCGAAGATGAACCAAATGATAAAGATGATAAAACTATAAAAGTTGAAATAACTAAAGAAAAAAAGGAAAATAATGATGAAAAAAAATCTAAAGATGTTGAAGATCTGATGATACCTGAATGTAAATTCTTTTGGGATTCGAAACCTGATCCAGAATTGCTTAAACAACTATCAAGTGATAGTGAAGATGATGATGAAGAAGATACCGAGCCGAAACAAAAGAAGAGAAAATTAAATGCTGCTGAAAGACGAGAACTTGAGAGACAAAAAGAACGAGAAATTCGTGAGCGAGAAGAAGCTTTAGCTAGTAATAAAGCACCTAGCTCTGCGGATCAATTTGATAGACTTGTTCTAGCAGAGCCCAATAATTCTATGATCTGGATGCAATACATGGCATATCATCTCCAAGCGACGGAAATTGAAAAGGCACGAATGGTTGTTAGAAGAGCATTAAAAACTATTAATTTCCGTGAAGAGAATGAAAAACTTAATATGTGGAAAGCTTGGTTGAATTTAGAATCTCGATTTGGTTCCTCTGAGAGTTTAAATGACGTTTTCCATCAAGCAATAAATGCAAATGATTCTAAAAAAATTCATCTGCATATGCTAACAATTCACTTGGATGCAGAAAGAAAAACAGAGTTAGAGAAAACTGTGAAAGCTATCATAGGGAAATTTAAAGATGATGTTGAAGTATGGATTGAATGTGGAACTGCTTTTGTTAAAATAGGATTGAAAGAGAAATCGAGACTTCTTATGCAACAAGCACTTCAGTCTCTTCCAATTTCAAAACGTACGTATCAATGGATCATTTATTGTCCATTTATTTTTCATTACATTTACTTATTGATTAATGTTATTTTTAGATGTTTATTTGATGGTGAAATTCGCTCAAGCAGAAAATAATTATGGTGATAAAGAGAGAGCTAAAACTTTATTTGAGAACATTTTAACTTCATACCCTAAAAGAGTTGACGTGTGGTCAACTTACGTTGATTTCTTGGTAAAGGACAAAGAATATGAGATTGCAAGGTATGATTTTATCTATAAAAGTTTATTTCTGTCTCGTATTACTTTCACATCATTAGATGCTAATAAAAAACAAAAAAATTTATTGCAGGAAAGTGTTAGAGAAAGCTGTTGCCCAAACTTTGCCACCAAAAAAAATGAAAACACTCTTCAAGAAATATGTTGCATTTGAAGAGCAGCATGGTACTCCTGATGGAGTAGATTATGCTAAAAAATTAGCTGTTTCATATATTGAAAATATAAGTAAAAATCCAGTTAACGAATAATTTATAAAAAAATATTAAAATTTTTTATTTAGACAAAAAAATAATTGTAAATAATTATTAGCAATAAATAATTATACCTCTATACATGTGAATGAAACGAACTTTATTGTTTGAAATCAACCATTTTAACCGCTATTTACTAGACGCGTGCGCGAAATTAAATTATCACAAAGATGGCCGCTAGTCTGCGCTGAAACCGCTATAACATCGCGAAGCTTCGGTCGGTTAGATTAGTGTGCATAGCATAGCATTTTTTTTAGCTGCGCTAGCGCAGAATGCATTAAGTTGATCGCGAAAAGCATGATTATCAGCGCAAAAATCGGTAACCTTGTAGTTGACGCCATATTGTTTGTACGCACGTTGCTGGTGAGCGAATATTCAGTTGTAAAATATCGCTGTATAGCAACGTAACGATCACGAAGACGAGGGAGTGCCACAGAGAAAGGTAAATATGTCCGCGAGTGAGGAGAAAATGCAAATTTTTTCTTTACGTGCATTCCTCCCAATATAATTGTGACTTTGTGGTAATGTTGAACTCTGAAAAAATTCCGGTCGCCTCGCGCTTTTCAACCTCTCCTCGTGTTCTCTCTCTTGCTCACTGTGCAAATGCCAGTGATGATTCGTAAGTGAATTTACCGGAAGGAAATTTCCCCAAAAGGCTCCGAAAATAAAATTATTTTCTGAGCTAATTTTGGAGGTTAAGTGGAGTGAGAAAGATGTATGTTAATCTTGTGAGTCATCTAAATTTTGAGTGGTCATTAAGTAAAGAAAAAAATCGATGAAGTATCGATCTCAGTCGTACGAATAATAAGCAGGTGCTATGTGAAGGAAGTTATTCATGAATAAAAGGGCGGAAAAAAGTTTGGGACATACGAACTGGGGTATTGTGACGTCACAATTAGATGAAGAATAATGACGCTTGATTGGACAAACAGAAATTACTCTCGCTGTTTAAAATTTTCGTTTATCCTTGAATATTGTCAATCAAAAGATTAACAACAGTCAAAAATCTAGAAACTTAACAGTTCAAGTGACGTGGATGATATCGAATATCGTACATACGTGCGTCATATGTGAGTAATTAGAGAGAGATTGCGAGTGGAGGTTAGAGTAAAAGTAAAAAGGAAACGTCGTCGTGGAAGTTGCGTGAGTATTTTCATCGCACATCACGCATTTTCGTTCATGTGGGTGGCAATAGGTTAACAAAAAACGTCCAAGATTACTCTTGAGACTTGAATATTGTTCCGAGTTTACAAGACAATTTTAACTTTTTCAGTAAATGATTCAGTTACTATTGTCCTCTAGCGTCAATAATTTACCAGTGAAACATCACCATTAAATTATATGACCAATAATAAATAACATGTTTCTTCAAGTTGTTATGAAGTTGCATTAAACATTATAATAAATGGAAATGAGAAAAATGAGCAAGAGAAAAATCGAGCAAGTTACTAAAATTCCAGTGTCATTTTCTATTTAAAGGAATATCATACCCTAATGAATATATTTTAAACTTTCTTTTTATTACAAAAAGTTTTTTATTTTTGACGCCTGTGCAGTCATTTTAGCTCTTTATATTTAGGTTAGTCATTTAGGAGAAGGAAGTAAAAGGTGTCGTAATTCATCATTAAAAAGTTGTGATCATTTTGTTGTATGTAAGCTATTTTGTTATCATAGTGGGCAATTTTCCAAATAATTTTGTATAAAATTCAATTAAAAAAAAAGATCTGATGTTTTTCAAAAGTGTATTATAGTGAGATTACAAAATAATGGCTGGACTGTACGTAAAATCCAAACAATCTCTACATTCAAGGATATGTAAATAATAAATAAATTTATTTATTTATGTATTTATTCATATAACTAATGAAGAAATTTTAAATATGCAAAAATTGAGCTATTTTTTATCTTAATATTAATTAATGTAAAAACCAAAATTTTATTATCTAAATAGTTTCATTTATATAATCTCACGTGAGTTATCGATTAACTTTGACAAAAAAAGTATTTGCCGAATGAGGACAGTCAAGATAATTATTTTAAATCATTCAATGACAAAAAAAATTGATAACAAAATAGATCAAAGTATCAAATAAGAACAAAAATAAATGTACAAAATAAATGATAATTATTTTTATTTAAATATAATTCAATGTCACTGATCTATAGATGAAGGAATTAAGTGAATTATTATTTTGAATATAAAGTGTGACGTCTATTCATTAACTTGAATCATTAAAATTTAATTTACACTCATGAATGATGATAATGAGTCACAAAAATCGCAGGAAACCGCTAAATCGACGTTGCATAAACGCTTAATCTCATCATAGTATCTATCTGTTAACGAGGTTTACCCTCAATGACGTAACACTGTGTATCGTTTATGTGTATTCTTTGTGTATTAGTGTAAGAGAGTTGAATAACGTCTTTGGCATTTGATAGCAATCTATAGTAGTACTCGATGGTACTTTGATATGAAAGCACTTATTTTTTATTCACGAATATTCTGTTTTTAGATATGTTATAGCTATAGCTATTATTATTATTGTAATATAGTAAATAAATAATTAAGAAAGTTATTAACTAAAGCAATACGATTAATTCTAAGTGGAAAGTTTAATACATTTACTTATATCACGAAGCCTCTTTCATGAAAGCTTTTAATCCAATTAAGAAAGGAAGGAAACTAAGGAAAAAAGAGAACAGGTTTGTAAAAGTATTGATGATATGCATTATGCTATTCCAGTTACATACTTTCAGAAACATTTTATTGCATTTTAATTTAAAAAAAAAAAAATATGCTGATAAATGATAATTATTTGATTACTTTGAAATAAAATGTAAAATTTTTTCCTGTTTATTGGATTCAAAGCTTTCTAGAAGTGCTAAAAATTAATAAATTTAATGAGGAAATTAAATGTAGAGGAAAATACTATTTATAACCAAGATAAAAAAAACATGTCTAGATGATACAGTATAATATTACAAGACTGCGTATTATCTTATTTTATAAATAGGTTGAAAATTTAATGCATATACTAACGAGTGGAAGAGTGTATCGAGAGATTTGGAAAGTCGCCACCTCGTGCATAAAAGTATTATAAGCGCTGCATAGTTTTGCATTCCTGGTATTATAATACATACTATAAATTTTCTCTTATACATTTTTATTGTTATTTTACATTTTGTTTGCAAACATAGTCTTCTTGTGAAATTTTCTTTTATATGACCAAGTTGACATCTTTATATAGTTGTTTATGAAAAAAATTAAAAAAAAAAATCACTAGAAATAATTGTATCAAAGATAGAATGTTTAGAAATATTTTTAAAACGCTCGTTAACTACTGTATAAGTTAAATTTAATTTGTTAGAATCATTTGAATTTAATGAATTTTTTGTCCTTTTCTGTTTCTCATTTTGGTTCACCTTTGTTACTCCATTACATACATCTGCAATCATCACGTTGGTCTGATTCATTTGTTCAAGGAATTCTTTCGGCCTTCACAATGGCCTTTTACAGAAGATCATATTTCAAAGAAACAAGTAAAAAAAAAATATGTCTAGAATTCATAAAATAACCCTTGAACAGTCTAAGGTCATTAGAGAATGTGAAGATGATCAAATACGTGAGTTAATTAGATTAGTGATTGTTTAAATAAATATATATATACATATAATTACATACTATTATTAATAATTCAATGATTATTTATTGTTATTTAATTAGTTCATTAATTTAGTATCTATATTTGGATTTCAATTAAACAAAATGGATTATCCAGTCATTTTCTCTTGCTCATAGAATGTTTGCGTGTGTTAAACCATCAAACACTAAAAAAAAAAAGAGTATTTAGTTGTATGCTATTTTTAAAAATAAAATTCCAGTTAGATATGTGTTAACTGGGTCACCCACCAACGGAATTTATGTTCCAATTCGCGACTGTATGTGAGTGTATCTTATAAAACAAAGCTCAAATGTTTGTTCATGTAATTGTTTGATGGCACACGAATTATATAAGCCTTCAAAAGCAGCTTCAAAAAAGAGTGTTAATTTTTGATTGAGAGTTGACAAAAATTAATTAATTAATAACGATATAGGAAAGTAGAATAAGTTAGAGATGTAGGAAATAAAATATTAAACATTTTATTTTTTTTGTTTAAAAAAGATTGAACCGGGGACGGTAACGTCAAAGATTTTGCACCAATACAACAGAGTGCAATGTCATTCCATCGCGGCGGTTCATCAGATATCCTCGCAGTTCCTTACAAAACAAGTTCAATAGCACCGCTATTGCCAGATGGACGACTTAACAGCAGTAACAACCGAAACGCAGCCTCTGGAATCGGTAGTCCTACAACTTCTACTAAATACATGTGTAGACCACCTGGAGAATTTAAATGTTCTCTAGTTGGTTCTTCAGTTTATGGTACAGCTGCATCAGCAGCTCTAAAGAAGAATAAATGTTTACCTACCAGGTGTGAAACAAATTCGTGACATCTAGCATTTTTAATTGATTTTATATAAAAGAAGAACACTTGAATCCTCTCTAGTCATATATTAGCATTAATTTATTTTTTTATTTGAGATCAAATATATTTAGACTATACTTAGAGTAAATATTTTGAGTAAAAGGTATTCTTGTCTTCTTAAAAATATTTAATAACAATAAAAGTCTACGGATTTTTAATTAAATATCAACAATAGTATCAACATGATTGAATTTTTTAAGAAGACATGATATTTTTTATTTATAAAAATATTAAAGTAATGTAAACAAACATTAGTAATGACTTGAGGTTTATTATAACAAACTTACAACACATTAATCTGCCTTAATGTTAGCATATCCGGGTCTCTATGGAGCTTGTTGTGTAATTCAAGCTTTGTTTCAACGTCCCACAATGTTGAAAGAATGAAGCAGGGTGAAGACATTTCCCCAGGGGGTAATTGCCACGATGAAGAGGTAGTAGTGGAGGCGTTAGACGGATGCATTGAAAACTCGGACAATTCGTTGACAAAAGCCTTGTTCGTAGCTTTTGTTTTCTGAGCAACAAAGATCCAATTAAGAATCAACTATGTTCACGCCTAAATTCTATAGAATCTCTAGGCGTGCGTATACCATTCTACTAGCAGCTCTAAAAGGTTTTAGGGGTCTAGTAAAGGGTCTAGGTCACACTTTCTCTGTACATTTGACACGGTCAATCATGTTGAATTCATAGAAACAAGTCAGACAAGGTCCAAGCGTTGAACCTTGGCCGTAACAAGACCGCGAACCTGTTCAACCAGTATCAACAACAGCATCAGCCGATTAGTGGTCGACTGTCGTGTCCCTCTTGATTTCTTCTTCTTGCTCATCTTTTTCTACTTGAGGTCTATCAAATGAAGGATCATGTTTATACATTGTACTGTTGAAGATGCTATGGAGTACACAGTAAAAAAGAAAAACTGGGGTCATGACCGCTCACTCGTGACTCGCATAAATGACGACAATTTAGCATCTGGCGAATTTTTTTCCCTCAGGGGTACTTTCAACCCCTGAAGCTCGTCTACTAGCTAAGAATAATGATCGTGTCAAGGGACACCCGAGTACCGTGGCACGAATTGTTTACAGTACTTGGCCTCTCCTTCTTCTACCCTTCATTTCACTTTTCAAAAAAGTCGATGCTAATATTAGTCTTAGCAAAAATAAAGGTAATAGCTTGTTAACTTGTTTTATTTCATATCAATCATATTTGTTATTATATTTTTACTCCATTTTGTTGTTTATTTTTTTTCTTTTATGAATTAAAAATATATATATATATATATATATATATATATATTATATATATATATATATATATTAATTGCGTAACTATGTAAATGCAATATGATTAAAGATTTTAATAAAATGTAATTTCATTAGAAATTGGTTACTTAAAGAAGGTTGTCAAATAGAAGTGCTTTTACCTTACGTAACATCCTTAAGAATAGAGCAATTTAATCTTGGAAAATTGCATGATTCTTAAATCACGCAATCTGTGATACTATTCCACTTTCCCGAGATAGTTCAGTCGTCATCGTTGTTAAGTTGTAGTTTGAGAAGAAATTTCTAAAGGTACAGGCAGTGATGCTGAAATTTTAGTTTGAAAAATCTTCAATGTGTCATTGGATTAGATGTTCCAAATACTTGGTACATTATAGCACACAATTGATCGATCCACCCCTTCTCCTCTTGGATGACTTTCGATGTCGTTTATATACACATTCGGGGAGATAATCTTTATAAGAAACGATAAGAAAGCTTGGAAATTTTTTGTTGAAAAAAATCCGATAAGATTTGAATAAAATTGTCAAAGATAATGTTAGCATATTCTTGATATGTGAATAGTAGTTAAAGCGATTTAAAGTAGTGTAAAAGTATAAAATTTAATGCGAATAAAGTTGCATAAGATAGTGAAAAACCTTTGGCTGTTAGCCCAAAGCAAGCAATAATCTATAACGTGTCCTGAATGACTTATATATATATAAATTTTTTACAGGCCAAACTTGCACAGTGACGTCAGATCTGATACAGCAGCTGTTAAACTGCCGAAATATTCATCATCGTCATCAACAAGCCTTGTCTCACCTTATTGTTTTGATAACTCCTGTGACACTGGATTGAGTTTCACAAGTAACAAACTGTCCAAGTATTCATCAACATTGAAATCTTCAACATCACCACCAGCCTTGTCAACATTGTCATCTTCTTCACAAGACCGTAAAAGCTTTTCTGTATCTAGTAGTTTCTCTGAAGAAGAATTGATGAAGTATTCACCGGGCAATTATACAGCCAAAATTCACCGCGACAAAAAGAACCAATTAAACGGCCACCGCAAGACTGTTTCATTCTCTGAACCTCTAGAACAACTTCCCGGTGGTGACGAACGTGATCGTCGGGACCGTTCATATTCAAACGATACGTCAATTTCAACGGTTTCAGATAGATGGTCATCCAATAGAGAAGTTAAAAGAAGAAATAATCTATTGAACACAGTGCACGGTGGCCACGATCAGATCGACTGTGCTGCAGCATCAAGCGAGGTAACTCTTCAAGATCAAAACGGAGACAGTGATATACCGAGAAATAGTCACGATAACGTCAACAATATTAACGTGGACAATGACAACAACGGAAATAACAATGACCGAGACAATGATACTTTAGATGAGCGTAAAGTGATCAAAGATCATGATGATAACATTAACAATGATGACAATTTAAACCACCACGGTCACCCGACGTCGGCCGATAAGTCGCGAAGATTAGCTGTTACTTCATCCTCATCTTCTTCGCTGTCATCATCAGCTTCACTCACTGATTCAATTTGGACCAGTTCCCCCGCTACTGAATCTTGCGATTCGTCTGCTACTACTCCTTTAGCTGCTCCACAAACTAGTATTGACAATTTTTACTTGTCGGCCACGTCTGGTGGTGGTAGTGGTGATCCCCAAGTTTTTTCGTGGACTAAAACACCCATTAATCCCGATAACACGGAGCTATTCACTAACAATAATGATCAGGACTGCAATTCCCCAATATTTGGGGCTGTCCAGAGTGAGGTCTCTCCTGGAGATACTTTGTTTGAGAGGCAAGCTTCTGTATCTAGTGCTCGCGTAAATGTTCATGGCTGTGCTGCGCAGTGGACTAATGCCAACGACTCCAATGGTCATCAAATCAATGATGAAGAGAATGAAGATGGTATTGATGGTGGATTTGAAGCTAATTTAGCTTCTAGTGACATTTCTGTTGATAAAATAAATCTCGAAGATGTACCTTTGGATGATACTCTCATTTTGAGTGCGTCAGATGATGTGTTCAAAACTCCAGGTAGTCTAGATGACAATTTTAGGGTTACAACTAGACCAACTGGTAATCAAGATGATTTGCCAAAACCTTCAACATCTAGAACTGTCTTTGGAGGTTGGGATACACACAATAATGATTTTAATACTTCATCAACCAGCACTACTCAACCTATTGATGTACACCAACCAATTTATAGAGGATTCAATGATCAGTCTGTAAGTATTCAGTGTATTCAATCAACAAATGTCGATGAACCGAGACAATGAGTTTACCCTCGACCGAGTTTTTCTTGATAGATTATTTATCAATGGTGATATCTCCTTTTGCTTTTTATTACCACGTGCTAGGTAGGACTGAGCTGCGAAAAGATGTATGATGCATACTCTTGTGCTCTACTTCCTCCCGCGCGCCAATTACTGATTTTGGCAGGCAGAATTGCGCTTGAGCAATGCCAGTGCAAAGTTCTATCGAGTCGCGAGGTACGAATAATCATTCACCGACAACTAAACAAGAATCTAGTTTATATTTCTTACAAGAAGAAAAAATAATATGGTCTCAGCTGTTGGTGCGACGTTCTTGGTCAGTGGCACGTGTAGTATAGAGTTTGCTATTAATACTTTCACTTGTGTGTCCACATATACCAAACATTCAATATTAGATAGAAGTGAATTATATAAACAGTTTTATATATACATCATTTTTTAATAATAATAAACCATTATTTTAAAATAAATATCTTTTTGAAAATAATTATGATTGAAACAACTCGTGAACGGTTCATCGACATTCATAATTGATAATCATCCTATTCTTAGACGGAACTCGTGTCTTAATCCTGACGTCTCATAGTTAATTGTGAGTATCAGTCATCATTTCATCAAAGTATCGTCAACGAAATATTTTATATTTTCATATTTTTACTTACTTCTTTTCTCTCTCTCTTTTTTTTTATTGTTTAAAACAATTTTTCCATAAAAGAAAAAAAAAATACGTAGTTGTTTATGATACTCATAAATGTATTTTTTTAAACATTTTTCAAACTATGACTGAGAAAAATTTTTCCATCATTTTTTATAGTTAAACTTTTTAATTATAATCAGTGGAAAACGATAAAAAAGAATGATGACAACCATTTTTCTTTACTAACAAAAATAAATCAACAGTACTCTGAAATCATTTCAAGAGAATTTTCCTCTTATTTTGACTTTTTCCATTTATTTTATTATTGAAATTTTTTTCAATCAATGAAAAGTGTAAACTTTTTATTTCACTGACAAATGTATCCACGGTGTTTCGAAATCATGTTGCTCTCTTCATCACAGACAAACTGCGACTCTCACCCTCGAGTTTTTATTAATAGAATCCGACAGCCGCTCTCTCTGGTTCTCGATGAAGTGCAACTACGTGTACGCCGGTTATAGAGTCATATATATTGTTATTAACACATTTTCATATATTTTCTAAATTAAAATTTCATCAAATCGTTCTAAAGTTTTCTTTTTATATTAATAGAATATTTTTTCCAAACTTTTAAATTGCCAAAGCAATAGCTTATATAATTATTTAGCTTCACTCCTGATTAGAATCAACTTCTAAATAATTTATTAATTATTTCAAGCATCATTGAAGTTAATTCGGTGCTTTTATAATAAATCAGTTAAAATAACGTGTAATATTTTGTATATAAACTGGCTTTCATTCAATTAATAAACCTGTGTCTTTGGTCCATTTGGACTACAACGGCTCTTGGAATTATTTTTGTTTTCTTTCTTGGACTTGCAACACCCTTAAAGGCTCAAAAGCCTCATGACCCTACTCTATATCGCTCGAAACTAACTTGTTCATTAGTTTCTCACGTCGTTCGTAAAAGGCCACTCATATCTCGGGTCAAGGTGAGTACGTGATGCTTTTAAATTGTCTTGAAACAATTAATACATTTTCATTCAATCATTTACATTTATTTTATTTATTAATTGATATTTTTTATTTTCTGGCTGATTAATGTGTTGGATTTTAGAATTTTTCAAATGCTCGGCGTGATATTTAACATCAAATTAACTCAACTGGTTAATAAATTATCAATATTCTGTAATAAAATTGCGGAAAAATATGTTTTCTATAGACTAACCGGAAACTGACCGACGACTTATGACCCATACGAATTTACGATCAACAGGAAATTGCTTCATAAAGTGCCAAATTAAATTATTGTCAATTTTACAGGAGGAAAGTTCTACCTCAAGGTCGCCGAGAAATCGAACTTCAGCACGACGAGACGAGAGTCATGGTCTAAATGGATTGAGAAACATAGGAAATACTGTAAGTTACATTTTTCATCAGTTTAAAACAAATTTCTTTTACCAACATGTATATTGATGTTCATTTTTTCTTTTCTAGTGTTTTATGAACAGTGTAATACAATGCCTGAGCAACACGAGACCTCTTCTAGAATATTTGTTAAACGACAATTATTTAGCCGACATAAATGTAACAACGTCCAGCATGAAAGGTGCCTTGATAAAAGCTTTTGCCCAAGTAATTCATGAACTATGGGGAAATAGTGGTGACCATGTAGTGAATACAATTTCACTGAAAACTCAAATTCAACGATTTGCTCCTCGATTTATGGGTTATTCCCAACAGGATGCTCAAGAGTTCCTTAGATATTTATTGGAAGGTTTACATGAAGATGTTAATCGAGTTGTAATAAAACCACAACCTATTCTCACTGATATCCCGGACCAATATACGTAAATATCTATTTTTCTAATTTCATTATAAAATTAACGTTACTCTAAAATAATGTAGTAATTATTTATTTATTTAACAGAGATGTTCAAAAAGCAGCAGAAAGTTGGAAACGATATCTTCGCAGTGAAGATAGTACTATTGTTGATGTATTTGTTGGACAATTACGTTCGTCATTGCATTGTACTTCCTGCGATCATGATTCAGTAACATTAGATCCTTTCTGGGATTTAAGTTTACCTATTCCTGTTAGAAGTGGAACAGTAAAACTTCAACAGTGTTTAGAACACTTCACCAAAGTGGAAACATTAGATGGTGATGAGAAACCTACGTGTTCTAAATGCCAGATGAGGAGAAAATGTACAAAAAGTTTCAGCATTCAAAAGTTCCCCAAGATCTTAGTTATCCGTATCCTTTATCAACTAAATAAACTTCTTAAGTATTAATATACTTCAAAAAAATTAAACTTATGAATGCTTTACTTAAACGTTATAAATGATAAATATTTTCCTTAATAAATATATTTTAAACAGATTTGAAAAGATTCTCTCCAACAGAAAGATTTCGAGCAAAATTGAGCGTTTTAGTGGACTTTCCTCTAGAAGGTTTGGACCTCAGTGCCTTTGCAGCTCCGGGCGTGGCAGGTTGTACGTACAATTTGTATGGTGTAGCCAATCATTCGGGTACTCCATACTCAGGTCATTATACCGCCTACTGTAAGCATCCGTACTCTGGAGAGTGGCATGAATATAACGACAGCAGTGTATCCTCAGTCTCTCAAAGTTCGGTGGTATCCAGTGAAGCATACGTCCTCTTCTATGAACAGCAACCACTTAGTCATCATTTGTAACCACACGCCACAATTAGCGTACACGACCATCTTGCCTCGTGAGGATTTTACCTCGGTCCAGCCTGACAAATGCGACTCGACCCCAGGCGAGTGCAGCAAAACACAAATAAAACAATAAGAGCAGCTTGACATCCGGAAGAAAATTGAACCACGAAGCGTTAGTGTAATAGAAACGTAAAAGCACTAATGGTGACGGTTTTAGGTACTGTGCTAGCTGGAGAATAAGCATAATAATAAATTAGTTGAACAGAAAAATATTAAAAATAGAAGGACGGGTCGCTGCATTTCTTTTTGATATTTACTTTGCTTCCTCTTTCATTTATTTATCATGAATTTATTAAAATAATTATAATAAATACACTCGTCTTTTTAATCAATTAAGATGGCAAGGATAAATCATTTGAAAATGTATTATGTATTTTTAGAATTGAATATATTTAATTTATTTATTAACAATAAAATAACTATCATGCGTTTACTGGCTTGATAAAATGGATGGATTAAAAAAAAAAAAAAAAAAAAAAAAATTATAGTGAAAAAAAGGGATATTTTGTGCAACGAAATGGAGGAAAAATTATGAAGGAAATATAAAAAAGGCTTTTAAAACATTGTTTACACTTGGAGCATGAATTAATCAAATTTCCGGATGTCTAGTTACTTTTTTAAAGAAAATTAAAAATTATAATATGAATAATAATTATCTTTCTCACAAAATCCATTTAATAAATCAGAAAAAAAATAAATAAAAATGAATAATAATAAAAATAAATAATAAAAATCATGAACCACCTGATAAATTTACGGCTATATTTACTTTTGTAAAATACTTTGTTTTATTTCCAAGCAGTCAGTGTTATTTATTTAATTTATGAAAAGAGAAAGAAAACTACAATAAAATATTAATATATTCGATACCAACGGATATAATATGAATCATATAAATATATTATTAATTAATTCATCATTATTATTAATATAATAATTATTATTACTATTATAATGCATGACAAATACCAATAAAAGTAACAGACATTAATAAGTACAAGCTGTCCAGTCAAATTATAATAAATGTTTTATCTCTATTATTTTAAACAAAATAATATAAAAATTCCTGTAATTAAAGAAAATCAATTATTGTTTATGTTTTGAAGAAAAAAAAAATTAATTCTTGTAGTGAAATACCTTATTTGATTTCATGAAAATTAATTAAAATCGCTTTCTAAGAAATATTTACGAACAGCCTGTAGTTCGTGTTTAAATCATTTTTAAATATTCATTAATAAATTTTTGTGCAGTAAAAAATAATAAATAGTTGCTCTATATTTTATTAAATACATTACTCATAAAATTTTGATCGACTTTTTGTTCTAAAAGGAAACAATAAAACAGGTTCGTTAAAAATTGTAATTTGATAATGAAATTTATTAAAAACTCTAAACAATAGATGATAAATATATGCAATTTTTTAAAATTTAGTTTAAATACAGTTAAATAATGATCAAAAATTGACATTTTTTATTTATTAACTCTTTTTGGAGTAGTTTCTTTTATAAATAAGTATTAGAGTCTTTAGAAAAAAATCAATTTGAATAATTTTAGGATAAAAAAAACACGTATTAATTATAAATATTAGTCGAACCACAATGATATGGTGGTCAATTCACAAACTGAAACTCGTTGGCGAAAATGCAGATGGCGGGATTACACATTTTCGCACATAAGAAGATGATAGAGTTGTGTGCGAGAACACTCTTGTGTAGTCGCGTGCGGTGCTTTCATGTTAGAAGAGAAATAAATTATAATGTTGGTAATAAATCGTTAAATAAATAGTTAATTAAAAAATGAATTAAAATAATAAATAATAATTGAATAAAAATAAGAATAAAAATGTAAAAAACCGTAAATACATATGAAACAGATAGTAAAAAGATTGACAGTACATCGACGATTCTTTATGATAGTGTTCTCTTTCAAGTGATGTCGTATATGTGTACGTGTGTGTGTGTGTATATATATGTGTGGGTATTCGGTCAGACAGAACGGTGGGAGTTGCAAAACGGTGAGGAGAGAGAGAAAGAACCTCGAATGGAAGTAGAAGGGAGACAGGGGGGCTTCACGACGAGGTTTAGGAGAGCGAGAGGAGTTGGCCGCGTGTTCGTGTGCGTGTCGTGCGCACCAGCGAAGAGTAGCGGAGAGACACGACACGACGACGGCGACAGTAGGACCGCGTACAAACGTATTCGCAAATGTACATGACCGTCTCGCCGGTCGTTCCAAACTAGAAGAGCCGACCACCCGCGAAAAAAAACCTCTCGTTCTTGTTTCCCTCTGTCTTCCTACACGTTTCACCACTAGATCTCGCTTATATACATGTATATAAAATTTTTTACAACCATGAAAATGTTGGAAATGCTGAAAATGTTAACATTTCAAACAAGTCGATAAAAGTACATGAGTTTTTACGCAATTAAAGTGGCTTTAATGATCGTGTTTCGGGTTTAAAAAGTGTTTAGTGTCGTTTTTAACAAAACATTTCAAGGCTTTAGTGGATTATAAAAATGGATTATGAGACAAGAAGCGTGAGAGGAGCATCAAAGACTAACTCTCAGGTACAGCTTAAGTGTGTGGCAGCATTTGAGACACTGGAGGTCTATATTTTCGCGTGCGCCGTGGTCGCTGTTGCTGTGCGAGACTCTATTGGCCGGAAATATAAGGCTTGAGAGCTGCGAATAATAGTGGTTTAGTTAGATTTTTCAAAGCTGGAGGATTACAAAGACTACTATAATACAGAGAACAGCAGAGAGTGCGTGAGATGGTTATGGTCGTGAGCAAAAGCAGGACGCGGGTACAGGAGAAGGCAATGGATCGAGAGGGAGACTCGGTCGTGCGCGCGAGAGGGCAGTGATCTCTCTCGGGGAGCGGCGACCTGACACCAACGACCGATAGCTATAGGATATATTCCACTCTCTCTCTCTCTCTCTCTCTCTCCCTCTCCTTCTTGATCTCTCTCTCGCTTTTGCTCATCGCCACAGACTCCACGATCTCAAAGAATTCACTCCGAAATACTCTGAGATTCCACCAAGGAATTCTTTTTTATTTATTCATGTCTTTGCTCGCTTTAATAAACTCAGCACATATCTCATCGGTGGACAAACTAAAGCAAACGCTTATTAAAAAGGTATTTTTTATTACCTTATATCTCCTAGTATTCTATGTAACTATATAAACGTGCGTGCGCGCGAGAAACATCGACACACGCGGTCGCTGAACTTTTTTTATCTGTCCACGGCCTCGTGCTTTCAAATCTCATGGTAGCTTTATTATTCCCTTTATTTTTTTCTTTTTTTTTTCATTTTTACTCTCCTATACTATTTTAGTATTTTTCACTGATATTTTTTTTTTTTATTCTGATGGTAATTGTTTTTAAAATGAGTATTGATTAATTATACTATATAGTTGAAAATGATGTATGTATATATATGTATATATATATATATATATAATGCTCAAGACGTTTTTAAGTGATTTATTGATTATCTTGACTGTAACGATTGCTCAATTACTAAATTAAATGAAAAAATATATTTATTCTTTTTTTCTTCATGTAAAGACGTTTACGACATTAATATTGAATTTACCATCAGAAATAATAGAAAATGATAACAAATAACGAGAGTTTAATTTTTATTTTTTTCTTCTATTTCTCTAATAATATTCCATGATATTTCATCAATTTTTATGCTAATTCTTGGAGAGAGAAATGAAAGTCAAATTAGAAATTATAACTTTTTAATTCAAGTTAAGAGATAATGAATATTTTCAATTACTTAAATGATTTATTTTCATCCTAGTAAATTAAAAAAGATATAATTAATTTATAATAATAAACCTGTGTAGTCAGTTGGAGGTTTTTTTTTTTTTTAAATCATTTATTAATAACGAAAGTCTATTATTATTACTTATAAATTAATTTAAAAATGGATAAAGTATAATTTAGAGTAACTCAATTATTCTTTCATGTATTCTGAAGTATAAAAATGATTGAAATTATAAGAAAAGAAATGTTAGACAATGATAAATGAAATTCTTGATTGATAAGCCTTTTACATGTCTACAAGCAAAAGTCTCTTAACGGTCATGGTTATACATAATTGTTTCCATTCATAAAGTATGTATTTATTGATAGACGTTCTGTATATATATTAAGACACGTATAAAAGGGTCAGTATATAATGTAAAGAAATACGTAGATGTATATAATCGGTAGTGAAGTGGCCAGTAGTCCAGGTTACAGCTATGCTAGAAGTATGTATTTAAACGATAAAGGGTTCAACTTTACTATACTAATTTTTCTACTCATGCGTGGGCTGTATACGTGTATCCATTATGAATGTTATGATCTCTTCCGCTCCCTCGTGCTTCCAAGTTTACTGACCCGTTAGTTATTTCAACTCTGTCCGTCACACGGAATTATTTAATCAGCTACACATTTTTTTTTACGAATTGTGCTGACCAGTTTTAACTTGTGTGTTTTAATAATACTTTATTTATTGTTTATTTAAGTATTTTTAACTTGATGGAATATTTTTCCTCAATTAAAAAAATCATCAACAGAATCAACTATGTTATTTTTACCTGAAGTGAAAATTTTTGGACAAATTCCCATACTTTCTGGTAATCTGTCTGCAATTTATTGGTCAAGTAAAAATTATCATGTTTCTATTGAAAATTATTATGCATTAATGAAATTTTTTCTAGTTTGTTTTAGAATAATTTCATTATTCATTACTTGCACTTGCTTTATAAGAATATTTCTAAGAAATTGGACTTCAAGTATTATTTAGGTTTAATAATACCTGGAAAGAACACAATGATGTTCATATAATGATGAAATTTATATTTCTCAAACTTCTCAGAAATTCTGTGTAATTAAAATTGAAATTACATTAAAATAAAATCAATATTTTTATTTTAGAATGAAAAAAAATTATTGCTAGTAATAAAGTGAATATATATATAATGAATTATTAATCTAGCAATTGAGAAATAAAAGTTGATAGACATTTTTGTTTAGTGTTTAGAGTGTTGGAAGGAATTTAATATGTAATTCAGTACTGACATCCAGTAAGACCTCCATCATGTTTTTCAGCTGAATGTTAGGTCTAGGGTCCGAACGATTTTCAGTAAAAAAGAGGGCGGAGCCCCTTTCACATGTTTGATGTGTTGAGCTCAGGTAAAACATTTTCCGAATGCACTCAATGTGTCCCAATCCCCACCAAATCATCCTCTTTCCCCTTAAAAATAAGAGGCGGGGCCTTCTAGCCCTTTTTACTTGACTTTTCATGTTAATATTTCTTTAATTTCCAATCAAATTTGGAGAAGGTTGGACCCTTCATCAACATTCACCACTACCGTATCATTCCATGGTGATCATTTCTTTCAACTCAACTTTCTAGGGTACATTAAACCCATTAAAATCTGCACACTTAACTGGCTCCTTTTTTTTTTTTAAATAAATGAGTCTCCCATTACTTCATAGCAAACAAGATTTAAATTAAAAAAAAATCTAAAAGTTTATTGCATCTATAAATGCACTCGTCCAACTTGGTAGGATACATAAATGTTACCAATTAAAATGTTTTTACAAAAAGAAGGAATCAGCGTCTTTAATTGAAGTTAAATTATTCTTCACGAAAATACATGGATATCATGATGTTGTTCATTAAAGAAAATGCGATATATTTAATTAGTTTACTTGATTGAAGGAAAAAGTATAGCACAAAAATCTGGAAATATTTCCTTTGTTAGACTTAGGACATATATATAGAACATCAAACGAATTCGGTCATCAACCTTCAAACTTTCCCGACTGGTTTTCCCCTCGAGTCTAGCGTCTGAAAGCAGAGTCTTTCACCCTTCTTCCTTGGGAAAATAAGTGCTGATCGTGCTGGAGGGTGTGTGTCTTTGACCCGGGTGATCGTGGGGTGTCGCGAGCACGTAACAATGTTGCGGTAGGCCTCTGGGCCAAGACTTGTCTACAATAATATACACATTGACATTCATACATGTATGGTGATGGTGTTCTGTCTCATTTCAATTTGACTCTTTTCTTTGTTTAACATTTTACAAAACAAAACTGCTAGTGACATGGATTTGTACATAATGTATGAATGTACATCACTTGGATGTCATTTTATTTTTCTTTACATGTTTTAGTGATGTTTTATACTCGTGTTTCTTCTTATATAAAAGTATAACTTTTACACCCTTGAAGTTTCTCGTAGGTCGAAGGCCATTTTCCGTCT